CGAAATTAATTAAATTAATTTCGCATTCTAGAATCTATTTTAGAACATGCCAGATTTACTCTCCACTTTGCTCCCAGTTAACATTCAATGAATGGATGTCTTAGATCACAATCTACGTTTGGACATAAATCGGAAGCAACGAACGTGAATAGTAGATCTTATCATTAAACGGATCTAATGTGGCCTTGTTAAACTTATCACAGTCCACACGGCACTCAAGATAGCATGCATAATAGCCATACAGCATTAGTGTCATATTGAATTGGTCTTACCTTAGTTGAAAAATATGGCTTTAGAAGTAAGTTTTAGAAGTTCAAGTTCGATCATCCTAACAATGAAACACGGGAGACCGTCTGGTGACCAACTTTGTTTCCAACCTACGTGGTGGAAAAATGTTCAACGATTTCAGCACTTAAAAGGCGCGATGCTTGTATGACACGATAATTAGAAGAGTAACGATCACATTCACCAATCTGGTCCTGGGTGGTAGCCTCAACTTAATCATTGCATGGCTGTTCAGTTATCTTTAGAAGGTATGGTCTCCGCACAAGCATCGTCGTTAGTCATTGTTGGATCTCAGTTATTGCAGAAAGACTAATTCCAACCATGACCAAGTAATCGTTTTTCGAGCATTCCGAGCCCCCTGCAAATTTAAATAGTCGTGTCGATCTAAATACTACGCACATCCTATACCTGTAATTTATTTTTTCTTTGTTTTTTAGTATTACTAGTTCATTTTGTGTCACCATTGATCCAATGCAAGAAAACTATATACCTTATTACGTGATACAGATAAGGTCATGATTATTTTCATAGGCAGAACTAAGGGAAGTGGAGATAAGAAATCGCTTGAATGTAACATGAAAAAGAGAATTAGTTTTCAATCTGTATGAATTTTTAAGTTGAAATCTAAAAATATGAAAAAAAACTAGTGACTGAATAATCAATGTAATATGTTAAAACTTCAAATAAAAATTATCAATGAGAAGGACAACTTGTTCCAAGACTATAACACTTAGAAAATCAAGAGATTGATAAATACAATCTACCTATAATGACCAATTATAGAATATTCTGTACCAGTTTGAGGATTCATTAAGATGAGATACACAAGCAAAACAACAACAAAATGATCATCACCTCTATAAGGTCCAAAAAGAAAGTTGCAAGAAATATATAAAAAATCACAAGATGCTTGATCAAAAAACTAGTCATATTACAATTGATTTAAATATAATGAGAATGTATTATTGCATTGATTTGCATCAAATAAACTGAAATGTTTTATAAAATTAGATTCCCTAACCATCATGTAAGATTAGTAGTAAATAAATCACTAGCGTAATATTAACTTATTAAATTTTTAATAAATTGTAAAAAAACGGAAAAAATTACAATATACGTCAATTTTCTTCATATAATGTAAATTTTTGCAATTCATAAAATCATTCTTTGCAATTTATTTCAAGAAAAACTATTTAAGAGATGAAATATATTTTTTCCACATTTTGTTTCAATGATAATTTGCTTTAATGGCAATTAAAATTGGAAGCAATATTGAAAGGTGAATTGAATTCATAAAGATTGTTTAATTCTTTATTATTTTTCTTGCAACTCAAAACATGAAATCGCAATAGACAATGATTGTGAAGTAGACTCAGAACTCTCTGGTTTTATACAAACTGCCCATCAAATCCAAGAGTTGACATGGAAGCCTGGACCATACAAAGCGCATTTTCAATGTTATTCAGATGTTTTCAAAAATTATCATCAAAAGAATAAATTTTATAGCAATGACGTTTGAAAATGTGAAACATAAATTTAGATTTCTTATATATTTCATATTGGGTTAGATGCATTTTAAAGCTTAAAAAAATCTGAAAAGTATGACTCATCGATGGAATAATTTCATTTATTGATCAATCTACTTCATTATTCCAAACATTTTTTAAGATATTGTTACCTATTATCTTGGGTATGTTAAAATTTTCAATATAAATATATCCAAATTTACCTCCCTTTGTTTCAAAAAGTGGAACATAACTTAAACTTTTATGTGAGCAAACTATGGAAAAGTCTAGGTGTTTTTTATATATAAAATCATGTTGTTTCAAAAATTGTAGAACACTAAATTTAGAATCTAGATCCAATAGCATGTATTCCATACAAGCTATTGGATAGTGAAAATGATCAAATTCATTTTCATGAATATAAATGAAAAGAGACTGATATGAAAATAGTCATTTCTTCTCACAATACTACTTTGTGTGAATGAACTTACGGCAATGGGACATTAAGCTTAGTTCTAGTATATATCACTAGTAATAAGTAGTAAATAACTTAAATGTATCTACAAGGAATATGTGTTATAAATTCCAATATATTAGATCTGTCTATATATGTTAGCAATGTTGTTTTGGTTTGAATTTTTGCATCCAAGTTTGTTGTTATTTCAAGAGTTTAATCAAGCGTGCTAATCATGCATACGAGACGTCTAGCACGTGATGCTATGCCACATGTCAACTGAGATTAGATCAAACTATTGATATACAAATTTTTGTAACTAGTGTTTTCCAACAGAAAGTTAGGCAAGTTAATATCCATGATATATCACCATTATCATATAACTGCGTCCGAGTCTGCCCAAGCGTGCTAACCGCCCTTATGTGATGTCTCTCATGTGCTTCTTTGTCACGTGTCAACTCGAGATTCAACCAAACTATTGATATACAAATCTTTGCATCCCATGCTCTCCAACGTAAAGTCAGTCAAGTTAATATCGATGATGAATCATCATCATCGTGACGTTTCACACGTATGAATTCAAGATTCGACCAAACTACTAACATACACATCTTTGCAACTTGACTCTTCAATGTAAAATGAGTCAAATTAATATTGAGTATATATCATCATCATATAATCGACTGTGTGGCCTACTTGAGTGTGCTACCCACATGTACGTGACGTTTATCACATGCATCTCTTCCACGTGTTAGTTTGACATTCAACTAAACTACTCATATACAAATCTCTGCAGCTCATGCTTTCCAACGTAAAGTTAAGCAAGTTAATATGATGATACATCATCATCATGATATAATAACGTACGTGGCTTGCCCGAGCGTGCTATCCGCACCCAAGAAACGTCTTGCACGTGCGGCTCTACCACGTGTCAACTTGCAATTTGATCAAACCACCAATATACAAATCTCTGCACCTCTAACTCTCGAACGTAAAGTAGGCAAATTAATATCAATGATACATCATCATCATGACATAACTGACTTTGTGTGGCCTGTACGAGAATGTTACCCGTGACTAAATGATGTTTTGCACTTACGGCTCTGCCACGTGTCAATTCAAGATTCGACCAAACTAATGATATACAAATCTTTGCAGTTAGGCTCTTCAACGTAAAATCATCCAAGTTAATATCAATGATACATCAACCTGATATTATTGCTTGTGTGATCTTTTTGATCGTGCTATCCGCGTCTAAGTGACGTTTTGCACGTGCGGCTCTGCCACGAGTCAACTCAAGATTTGACCAAACTACTGAAATACAAATTTTTGCAACAGGCTCTCCAACATAAAGTCACGCAAGTTAATATGTATGATACATCATCATAATATAACTGTCGGCCTGACGTGCCCTAGCGTGCTAACTTTGCCTACATGATTACAACATGTACCACATGTGCATGACAAAGTGTTTTTTTTTGTAGAAAGCAATCATTCAGACATGGAAAGGTTTTAATCTAATGCTCCAAAAATACATAGCATACATGAAATATAAGGAAAAAATTATATCATGTTGGAAGTATGTTGCTAAGTACTATTCTTTTGTTCCACATCATTTGACTGTATTGTGATATGACTCTTAACTGGAGCAGCTAGCACTGCAAAACTGATCACAGTGTTGTTGATGTTATAGGTCTAATTGGAAATATATATGTTCTTTTGTGTTTAACTTTACGAAGTAATTATCTTTGTAACTCACACTTGAACTTACATGAGCACGCGAGTAAACTTGAGGAGATTTTTGAAACAAGAGACGTAGAAACGTAGTGTATAGGATCATGCATCTCTTGGATGTTTATGAAACGTCGCATAATTACGTTTCTCTATCAAACGTCTCGAAAATAAAAACGATAATAAAGCACGGACGTTCATAAGACTGGTGCTCTATTCCGACGACAGACCGTCTGAACGAACAAAGGCTAAGTTTTTGACTTCAAATAAATCTCCGAATCACAAAGTAGTTTCCCGTTAAATCTTCGTCATGAAACCAAGATGGGGCCTTCCGGATCCGCAACTGTTAGATCATGAACAGCCTCGCCCTTCGTCTCAATTCCTATGCTCCGAAGAGCATGATTACTCTGATGCATACATAAATATAATATTCTACGACATTCCGGGCAACCCGCCGAGAGATGTAAAACCCAAACGTCTCTTCTCCTCCCCCTCCCTCCCTCCCCGTCGCCCGGTCGGTCTGCCTTGCGGGCCCTCTCTCCTCTCGCGGAATGTCGTGGCCGAAAGCCTCGCTCCCCGGGCAGGATATGAGGCCGTTGTGAGCAACGTCTTCGACTCGCAGATGAGGTCGGGTTTGAACAAAGGCCGTCGATCTTCAACGGGCAAAGAATCTGACCGAAATCATACCGAGATTCTGGGCCAATTTTGTCGTCTTCCTAACGTCGTTCGCAGAACGGCTCGGAGTGCTTCCATACAGCAGGCTGGATGGACCGTCAGCCGAAAACGGAAAGCTTTGTCGGCTTGCGGCCAAAGTCGGAAAGAAAGGATCCGACAAGGTCGAAAGAAAGATGGAGCATTTGAATAACCCGAAAGAAACGAATGCGTCATGTTACCGTTGCCGAGGGGCAGGACCAGCAGAAGGCGCAGCAGACGCAGCGGCAGCCCCAGCTCGTCCCTCCTCTGAGAGAGAGAGAAAGAGAGAGAGAAAATGTGTGAGAGTGTATGAGCGAGTGAGTGCTTCGAGTGCCGCTGTGTACCGTGAGTGAGTAAGGGGAGAGCTCTGTTTGGCTCGAGGCACTTCTCCTCCTCCTCCTCCATCTGCACTCCCTGATTCTGTCGGGACCAGGAGGAAGAAGAAGACTTTCAATAGAAACGAGTCTCTCTATCTCTATCTCTATCTCTCTCTCTCTCTCTCTCTCTCTCTCACTCATTGTTTCGGAGACAGTCCAACGAGCCAATTTCTCCAACGGATACAACCATTCTCCTGATGATCAGACTGATCTAATCCTGGTCCTCTTCCTCCTCCTCCTCCTCCTTCTGCTGCTCCTGCTCTTTTTCCTCCTCGATCGGTGCACCCTGCCCATTGAAGAGCTAGTAGTGCCTTCCCCCGCGTCTGCATTCTGCATCCCTCCCCCATCCCTCCTCTCTCCAGTCACAGGCTTCTTCTCCTCTCGCCCTCTCGCCCTCTCGCCCTCTCATCCCCCAGAGAGTTTTCTCACTCCCCTCTCCCGTCCTATCTCTCTATACCTCCCTCAATCCCTCCCTCCCTATCTCGCTGCTTTCGCTCTGTGTGTGTGCGTGTGTGCGCTTTTTATTCATCAGTCGTGTATCTTACCACGGCGAAAACATTTCCTACGTACAGCGCACGCACGTGAAACACCACCGATTACAACAAATTCGAGTGTGGGCGAAATTTTGTTCTCCTGTCATCCGCCTCCACTTCGTTCGTAGCGGACTGGTCGCTCTTCGAAGCCACGAGGTTGGGAGCAACCCCTTGCGGCGATGCCCGACTTCATTCGTGTTGAACTTACAGTTTACAGCGTTCAGCATCGGGAGGAGTCCTAGCGGGTGCTGAGTTTGTATTTACAGGCGAGAAAAAATCCTGAGTGCTGAGTAATAGATTGCTCGAGGTGGATCATTCTGCGACAGATTCATCTCGAACACTCTGTCGACGTTTGGAATCGATCTCAGGACGAGACTGCCGTTCGATCACAAGAGACTGCGGGGCGAATTGGTGGGTTTTGAAGCTGGGTACTGTTATCTCCGTAGCATCTCGACTCGCAGATGGTAGTTGGCGGTGCGCGCGTTCTCAGACACTCGTGAAGATCGTTCCTTCCGACTTTCAACGATTCTCGGCATTCATTTTTAGTCCGGGAAAATCGTTCTCATTTGTGGCGACGAGGAGATGTGGGGAGGTGATAGTTTCATGAGGGGGCCTGGAGGCCACTTAGGGTCGAAATCAGCTCCGTGCTCGCCTGTCAAGCCATTTCAAAAGCGCGTCCCTGCACAGCCGGACTCTTTTCACGTCATTCACAAGGTGCCACTTGGGGACTCTCCATACGTGAAGGCCAAACATGTGCAGGTAAGCACCTGTCGTCCAATGTCGTCACTCAAACTCCCACATGTGTCGACAATGTGTGGGCACTCGCCCACCCATCATGTCGACATCGTCCTCGTCCAACTTTCCTTGCATCGTCGACATTCGCTCATTCCCTCTCTCTCGCTCACTCCGTGGGCCGGAGAAGCTTTCGTTGTCGTTCGCGGCGCACTCGATAGTCCTTCCACTTTATATTATTTCTGTCCCTCGAGTGTCGGGGTTCGGTCCATTACCACTTTTAGCCGACCTTACGTCCCGAAATAAGTCAACACTATAATTGCCAGACCGGGAATCAAAAGGTCCTCGTCAAAAATTCGGTGACAGTTCCCGTCTGTCAGAGTCCCGTTCAGTCGTCGTCGTTGTCGTCAGTTCAGTTAATTTCTGGAGCTGGTGGCAGTCATCTCCGAGCTTCAGTCAAAGTCTTCGTATCGTTGATGAATCTGAATAGCTTCTGCAGGACGATCTCTGTCGCGCCATTGGCTTCATGCTGACTGCGAAACTATGTTCCCCTCGCAAAATGTCGACCATGCAATTAAAATTGGCCTCGATTATAGCGAGTGATTCTGCGTAATATGTATGCTCGCTTGCATGAATAGCTCGACTCGGATGCTGACTTTTCTGTATGTCTGCGGATTTCAGCTGGTGGACAAGGATCCGGATACTGCAATTGCTCTGTTCTGGGCTGCGATCAATGCAGGCGATCGAGTGGACAGTGCGTTGAAGGACATGGCTATAGTTATGAAGCAGCAAAATCGACCGGAGGAGGCAATTGAAGCCATTAAATCCCTTCGCTACCGCTGCTCCGATGCAGCTCAGGAATCTCTGGACAACGTCTTATTGGACCTGTACAAGGTAGGCTGCTGCTTCCGTCCCCTGAGGTTAGGTTCTACACTAGGGTCAAGAACACCACTGACGCTAGTACATTCTCCGAGATTCGCCGCCACAACTCTGTGGAAGTTCCTCCGGGTTATGATGGAAATTCAATTCGTTTGATTTCCTCTGAGGATTGTGATCAGCACGTCGAATAGTAAAGTGATTGTGGAAACTGTCGCTCATTTCTGCGTTCGTTGGTGTTTACAGAGGTGCGGGAGGCTGGACGATCAAATTGCGCTCCTCAAGCACAAGCTCCATCTCATTCACCAGGGCATGGCCTTCAATGGCAAACGTACGAAGACGGCACGATCACAAGGGAAGAAGTTCCAAGTATCCATCGAGCAGGAAGCCACCCGGTTGCTGGTAAGCCCTTGCGAGCTCGCCCTCTTGACCTTGAATTGAAACTTGAGAAGCAAGTAAATGTCAAGTCCACACGCAATTCTCGTGCCTGCTGCCTTCTTTCACAATCAATCTCGGCATCGAATGCGCTCGATTTTTTTTTCTCGTCTCGTGACGGAGAGTTCTGTTCAGTCTGCTGGATTTAAGTGAGATTCGCATTCATTCTCGGTCAATGTTTACTTCTGTTTCTCTCCAAAATATATGATTTACGAATTTTGACAGTGAAATGCTATTTATCCTGTGCAGGGAAACTTGGGGTGGGCCTACATGCAACAGAGCAACTTTTTGGCTGCCGAGGCCGTCTACCGGTGAGATCTTAAATTCCAGATTCTGATTGCATGAGTCTGCCCTGACAGCAGGTCGAGTTGAACCCAGTTGATAAAAGACAAGAATTGACCGCCGAAAATCTATTTGCATGTGCAGAAAAGCGTTGTCTATTGGGCCGGACAACAACAAAGTGTGCAACTTGGGCATTTGTCTGATGAAGCAGGGAAGATTGGAGGAAGCCAAGTCCATGCTGCAGAGCGTGGTTCCTGCGTGCCCCGATACTCGATGGGGCTCGGATTCGCACTTGAAATCTTACGAGCGGGCCCAGGAAATGCTTCTGGAGCTAGAGGCCTCCATGGGTCGGTCGAGTGGTCTGCCCAGCGCCATGATTCCATCTCAGGTCAACAGTCTTCTGCAGTCGTCTTTGTGGCAACCGCAAGCTGCTGGCTCTCATGCTCAGACTCAGACTCAATCTCAGAGCCAGAACCAGAGATCGATGGAAGAGAAGAGCGATTACTCGCTCCAAGACCTTTTCTCCGGAGCCCTCTCGGCAACCGCCGGATTTGGACCTGCTCCCCCTGCGAATTCCAGGCCGATGCAGAAGAAAATGGCCCCATCGATACAGCACAACAATCAGAACGCACAGCAGCAGCAGCAGCGACAACAAGAACAACAACGTCCCAGGACTGCGCACGACCTCGGAAGCAGCCAATTCCAGGGATTCCAAACCTCCAGCTACCAACCTGTGTGGGATGATTACGAATCCGAGTACGACTCCGAGTTCGAATCGGAGAACGTGGACACGAATATTCAAGGAGTGTCGCAAGTTCTCGCGGCCGAATCGTCCCACTTCCAACAACTTCAACAAATGCAGCAGTGGCCGGGCGAAGCACTGCACAGGCAGAGATCGGAGAACCTTTCAGGGGCACGCTCGGAGTCGAATTTCGGTCACCAGCAGCCCCAGCAGCAGCAGCAGATGCCGCTAGGAGTGAAGAGAGTAGACCGCAACTTGAACTTCGGTGGTTCACTCAGAGAGAATACAGCCTCCTACAACAATAACAACAACAACAGCAACAGCAACAGCAACTCTCATCCGTTCGCACAACAGCAGCAGAGGGATGGCGGAATGAGTGATAAACATCAAATCTTTTCCACCACTTCACAAAATCAGAAGCCTGTGGTCAATGAGAGAGCTCCTCTGGCATACGACCGCACGAACGTGTACAAATCTGTAGAGGAGGAGAACAAGCTGACGACGGATGGGTGGGGCAAGCCCTCGAAAAGCCCCCTGGGGAACTCAGAATTGAGCTTCTTCTCCCGGTGGGGATACAATGAGAACAGGGCATCAGTTCGACGGTCTCTGTCATTGGAGTCCTTCGACACTCAGCTGGAACTGATCGCCCTGGAGAACGAGGAGGCGGACGCCTCCAATGACATCACGTTCCAGCAGCAGCAGCAGCATCAGGTTGGGGCACAAGTGAAGCGCCCCAGAAACGGCAATGGAACTCCCATCAAGGAAAAGAGCAGCAGCTTGTGGGGATCGCTAGGATTCTTCCACACCTCGCAGGGCCTGGAGTTCGCCCAGAATGAGGCCCAGCTGCACGACATGAACAAGCAGCAGCAGCAGCAGCAGCAGCAGCGTATGATCAATTCAGCTGTGGCGAACACGTCCTCAATCCACCATCATCATCAGCTGGAGCAGCAGCAGCAGCTGCAACCAGCTGTGCACCATGTACATTTAGAAAATCGCCCTGTCTCCGAAAAGCAATTTCTGCAACCACAGCAACAGCCGATGTCTACGCAGGCAGCGGCGGCCGATGCAGAGGCTATCAAGAGACAGCGCAGGCTGAGAGTGTTCCAGGAAATCACTCTCTTCCCTGGAAGTCCCCAGCACGTGGGCGTATGAACGCGAGGGGCAGGCGGGCGCAGCGAAAAGAGCTCGTCGCGTCCTCAGTGCTAATCAGTCGATCACATTTTGTAGCAACCTCGGCGTTCATCAGCGTTGTAGATTTCCGATTCCCGGTCGGATGGATCGAGCGGGAGTCAAGATTAGATAGAAGAGAAGATTCATTCCTTGCTCTGTACTCAGTAGAAGACACAGCTCGGAATCACACCAAACCTGACGCTGAGCCCTCCATTCTAAGGGCTCAGGGCCGGAAGGTATTAGGATGAAGCAAAAGCAGTAGCAGCACCAGCACCAGCAGCCGCAGCAGTTTAGCAGTAGAGGTAAGTGTACGAATGTGTACATCACTTCTTCTGTCTCTCGTGATTATAAGAGAGACGACAACTATTGTAGGTAGATGATGGCTGGCTGGCTAGCTGGCTGGCTGTAGGCTTAAAATCAGCACTAATCTGTGGCCGCAAGAGCGACCTTCTCGGTCGTGGCCCATACAGCAGCATCAGAGAGTACCATTCTGTGTAGTGGGGAGTAATTATCAGCACTCATCACATCGACGAGTACCAGATCGTTAATGTGGAAGCAGAAGGCGGTGTAGGCAAGGCAGCAAGACGGACGCAAGGCGGCGGGCAGGCAAGCAGGCAGGAAGGAAGGATAGCAGTGTAGGAAGGAAGGAAGGAAGGCAGAGCGGCGAGGAGTCGTTTGATTACTCTATTAGATTAGAGTTGAAAGCTTAAGCAAAGTAGATAACAGATGCAAGCAAGCGATTGGCTGGCTGGCTGTGTTCATAGTTCCTATCTTTTTCGACGCATAGATGGTGCGAACTCTCAAATTGTTAGAATTGTTCATCCGTTAATGAAATCATTAAAAGAAAATTGATTTTTCATGATCTTGTCTCTCATGATTTTGTTTTTCATGATTCTTGGCTCTCTCTCTATATATATATATATATAACCTCCACCATCCACCGCCCACCGCTCTGCCACTATCCCTCAAATAACCTCTCAAAGCCGAAGATAAAGACTTGAATGTCTTTATCCTCCTCAAAACCTGTCGTTACTTAATTTTACTTCGTTGTCTCGTTGAGATGATGAGGGATTGTCGAGACGAGTTTATGAGAAGTTCCAGTGAACGTGGAAAATCCGCTCCCGCAATATTGCTACAATCTTCCCAAACAACTCTACACTCGGGATGGCCTTCGCTCGACACCATATAACAGGAAAGCAACGTGAAGACGCAAATGGGGGACACAAGCGGCGGCACAAGTCAGACATCTTCAAACTGTGAAACTCAACTGTCAGTTCATTGTTCGAACTTGAATCTTGTCGAACGGTCCAAAGGCAGCATCTTTATCGATATCAATCACTTACAATCAGTCGTGCACATCCAAGAGACCAAGAAACTGTGGTGCAGTAGCACTAGAACCGCCATGTGAGGTCGAATGATCTAGTTCGTGCAAGTCAGTTTCAGATAGTTATCTGAAACTGACTGTACTGTACATTACTGTAAGTACATGGAAATGAAATGTAGATCTTGTATAATAAGGCCTGAAGGTACTTCGGCTCTGGAGCTGGCCAGAAACGAACAGCTAGTTTGCTTTTCGAATGCACGCTCAATGAATCCCTGACATCGGAGAAGCTGAAGAGCGAAAGTACAAGACGTTTCTTGGTGTCATTCCAAACGTTGCCCAATGACCACACTCGCCCCTGCACCGTGACAATGTCCGTTCCGGCGCTTGGGTTGTCTCAGTACGGTTGTATGAACGTCACTAACTCCGAGACCGATAGCAGGATTCAGATTTCATGGCGGGCAGACTGCTCTCGTGCCGTACAGCCATTTTCTGTACTTGTATACCGACGTCCTTCGGCCTTAGGGCAACCCTCATGCACACGTACCTCCTTACCATCTTCGACCGGGCCTTGTCGGAATTCGTTTCTTTTCCGACATCTGATTCTTGCTGACCAGTTGGCTATTGCACTAATTGAGAACTCAACAAAAACAACTTGCCAAATTGAGTTGCAAAGGTGACGGTTTTCGGCTACCACATTCGATGAAAGTTGGTTTGTTTGGTGTCATCGAGAATGTATCCGACACTGGACCAAACTCAGGTTTTGACATTTTGGTTCCATACGTACTTCATCACGCACTCACTTGTCTTGGATATTGCTGACCAACTTCACCATTTGGGTAATGGATGCATCCTCCTGTGAGAAAAGTGGACGGCAAAATCGCTGCCACCCTGTGTGTGACCCTTCGTTTATGAAAGGTTATATGATTTAGACTTGCCAGATTGCATAGGCTGGTAGAGGATACCCAATCGCTGTGTAAGGGCAGGTTGAACAACGATGTGTAAGTTCCTGAGTGCGATTCGACTGCATGTTCTCAGATTCACCTGAACAAAGCTGCTGTTTTCTGCGGAGTACAACTGCTGCACTGGTGTTACTGTTACCCGGGACGTGTTTGGAAGTCGTACCGCTGTTCAGAAAGCTTCGAGAATTGTACGGTTTCATGTTTACTTTAGTCGTTGGCTGCTCACGCATATCCGGCTAAATCATGTGTAGAGCACAGGTACATACATGTGCACGAGTTCTTCATTCTGAAGCCCCAAGACATGAGCAGTGCGAAATACTTCTGGACCAGGAGCCTTCTTTCTTCATCCCGGGCTGCGATTGGATCTCACAATTCTAGCTTTTGCTCAGGTGTTCCCTTGCCTCGAGAGCTTGAAGAGGATTTGGAATCTTCAACTGGGATCCAGCATTTTCGTCTCTTAACTAACTTAGTGGCGTGAAGTGGATTTGGAGTGCAACTACTGATAAGGATTGGAGCAAACACTTCCACAAATTTCCAGGGTTGGACCTTTCTAATATTCAAGGAGAGACATGAACCACTGGGGAATGTAGTGATTGAGCAAGTTATACGAAGCCTACACCAGATTATGATATTTTTTTAATAGTTTTTGCTAAAGCCACTTTACAACGCCATAAAAATCACCTCCACCTATTCAGGAAGCGATCTTGTGATGAAAGGAATGTCCACTACCGTTCCGGAAACTCCAGCCACATCGACTTGGATACCAGCACCCCCTGCCTTATTCTTGATGTATCCCAAGCCGAAGTACTTTGAATTATCCCGGCCAATTGTGCAGCTGGTTAGCTTGCCAACCTGCAAAACCACCCACTGACTGCTGTCAGCCTTGGGACGATGTGTAGAGGCAATAAAAGAGCACTGGTCAGAAGCTGATGTCCATGACCTACTTTTCAGCAATAAATATCAGGGTCCAAGTCAGCCGGTACAATAAGGATACTGCATATTCTACCTTTTGGCCATCCACCATAATCGGGGTTCCCGGTGTTACTGCAGCTTCTAACTCGATTCCCCAGAGTTCTTGCTTCACTCCATTATAGGTTATGAGCTTTGCGATGGTCTCCTGCCCTATGTAGCAACCTGTTTGCAGTGGAAGCATTAGACTGATGAGTGCAAGCTTTAGAGCTTGAAAAGAGAAGTCCTAGATGCTGTCTATAATTGAGCATACATCATTCCTTGACCTTAGAAAGAGGGAACATTAGATGAAGACAGTTAAGTATACAGTATTTCACCTTTTGTCAATGATATAGTCCTCCAAAGCCCAGCCTCCAGAACGTTGTAATCATCAGTGAGCTCACTACCAGGTGCTGGCTTTCCTGCTCACAACAAACGGTGTCAAAACCTGACCACATGTATCGTGCTAAACAATGCAGTAGTTACGACCTCCTCTATACTGCACACAAATCAGGTTAACAAACCATCGCTAGTGTCTACACAGGGTAAGCTGAACATTGAACAGAATGAAGACTTCACACAACTTCACATCTCAAACTCAGACGCGCAAGGGGTTTTCAATTCTGCAACTGGAAAACCTTGCAGAACTCGAAGACGTTCCGCTGCGGTAGCACCCATCGGCACTGCCCCCGACTTGAGGAGTGTTTCCCAGACAAATCCGGCTGTGGATGTTGAAAGCAACATCGAGTAACCTTCTCCGGCATATCCACTTCCGACTGCAATGGTAACAGGAGTTCCTTCTACCTGCAATAACGTTCTCAACGTGGCATAAGGTTTAATTCTGTTGAAAATCTTCAAGGCTTGATAAAGGTTCCAGTCTGCACGTTCGAATTAATTTCTACCAATAAGATGTCAATAGAGAGACACCAGTTCGTTAGTAAGTGACAGATCGCACTTTCCGGATTGCGAAGAGCGGCCGCTAAGTAAAAAGATGTATTCACTTCGATCAATTCAAAAACTCACCGCATAATGAAGATGTGTCCCAAAAGGTTTTCCGATTATCTCCTCGAGATTGAGCTTCCTCAAAAGCTGGAGAATAAGAACCATATGAGCACTTGGATATCAACAGAGCTGAATCGGGTATCTGAGAGACCAATTATTCAATTCCACTGATCTTGAAATTCGGCTGCAAAGTGTTGTGCATATGGCCAAAATGATCGACAACGAAGGTCCAGAATAAGCGATACTACCTTCAAAGTCCGTATACAGGGACGTGTAACCAAACGAGGAAATCAAACTAAGCCCGGAAATCTTGCCAGAAAGAAAAGTACAGCATACCTCGTCACTAGATGGACCCGTTATTGAGAATAAGTAAGTCTTGTCAGTAATATCCTCTATTTCCACCTTATCTGCGAAGAAAATATACCTGAAAGGAGATGTCAGACCGAAAATTGAAGAGGCAAAATCTACGAGGTAGGAAAGCAGGTAAAAGACTTATTAGTACATAAAGAGCGGATAAGAGTGATGGACGGCTAGACTGACCTTGCCTACACAGCCATCAACAAAATCTTCAGCTGCCTAATTTGTGACAATGCCCTTGCCATCGAGTAATGAAGTAAAGCATCCAAATCATCACACACATCCGCCTGCTAGAACAGTCTGAAAGCTTTGATTGCGCATTACTTGTTAAGTCGATCAAAGATACTTTTTCGTGTACTTGGTGAAAGCACGAGGATAACGGAATTGGTCTGCGTGACAATGTTCCACAAAGTCAGAAATTTAGGCTAATTTTTTTATCTCAAAGGCTTGATACATACTTTACGTTGTTCCAAAGTTTGAGGAGCTGTATGAATAATCAACAGATAGTATTTGAACCGTGGAAAAGCCTGCAGTGAAGAAGAACTCAAGTTCGTACCATGACCCATGCTTTGGCGAGATCGATAGTTCTCGCTGTGGGCGTTGTGAAAACCGTGTAACACCCCTGCATAGAGTTCTTTCAGCATTAAATCCGGCTGCAGTTTCCTCACATCCAAAAGCGCTTAGTCCCCACCCTAACTGCATATAACGAAGGGCATTCCTTCCCTTAGTTACCTATCGTACTCCGCAACTTTCTTTGTGAACAACTACTTTAGAGTCTCATATGGACTGACCGACGTACTCATCAAAAGTGCATACTGCAAAATTCACTGACGAAGTGAGGTACCTGAGATGCCTTCATCGTCTTGAAATCTGCTGTGCTTTGATTGTGAAGGAAGTGCAAGCGGTCGTCTCCAGTCACTGCTTGCCATATGCACAGTTAAAGAGACTCCATTCGATCCTACTATGAGCAAATCTGAACCCTTGTTTTGACCAGATCCACGGGAAGAGTACAAAATCTGGTGACATGTAATAACACATTTCAAGGCTTCTGCAGGACAATCTTTTGTTCTGCTCATATGCCCGGGTTTCTTGAATTCTTCATTATCGATGTTGGAACAGTCGAAAGCTGATGATCGTAAGCATGAGATTACATACCTCTCAAGCGGCCATAGTTGGACATGTCGACAACCTACAGTTACATACATCATAACACGTAAGAAGGGAATGCGAGCAAAGCGAGATTCCGTCTATTTACAGATTTCATGGACAAGGAACCAACTTCCAGACACTAGAGATGGGACCATTTATTTGGTTTTCCTATATCCACAAAGAAAAAACTCTGGATATACATATCCTGCTGGATGCACAGAGCATGACTACAAAAGCTTCAAAAGGAGACAACGAATTCGCGAAGTCTTGCAAAAGGATACTCACCGCAACTCCTTGCTCTGCAGCTGCAATCGCTTCATCGTCATTACCAAAAGTCATAACGACACCATTGTCGTCAATTTCTGCACCCTCATCCCTCATAATTTCCTGCCTTCATTACAGCCAAATTAGGGAGTGAATACAAGAGCAGCATAACGAAAATGGACCTTGCTAACCCACCAAGACACTCACGGTCAAAAAACCAAAATCTTCTGAGAGCTTACTCGGCAGAACAGTGCGACTTCCAAACAGAAACTTCAAAAGAGAGTTCAAAATTCGAAGATTGGTTGTTTCTGCTCCTGATTCAGATCTCTCTAGCATTAAAAAAACAGTCCTTATGGAACAGAAGATTCAGATGCCATAATTATCTAAACAAAAATCGTTAAGTCTGAAATGTTTATGACTGTGAAGGAAAAATTCGGATCTTTTAGAATCTCGCTCATGCTAATTTTTCCAGAATTTTATAATTCTTCCAAGGTCAAGTTGAGACCCTTGCACGTGGAAGCTGAAGTCAGGGATTCCTTTTGGCAAACCTTCAGAAAGCTATCCATAATCATTACTAGAGAATCCCAAATCAGGTCGGCGCCACAGCTTACATGAAGGTCGTTATCAATAGGAGGTGGCATCAATTCAAAGGAGGAGACAGCCAAACTCCGCATGGAATCCCGGCTCAGCCTCGGCCATGGGCTGGAGAAATTATCTCTTCCTCCGATTGAGAGATAATTCCCTCTACCGAATCGTCCGACTTTGCAGTGCCCGTTTCGAAATCCATACCCTCGAGACTCATGGTCGGAACAACTGGCAGCAGACGCGGCAACCGTAGAGCCCAACACTGCAGAATTGGCGAGCAGGGCTGCCATACTTCCAAGAGCAGATGACAGAGAAAGCCCGCGAGTGTGGGATGAATCAGTAGCCTCTGCCTGTCATCGGGGCCTTTGCCATCAAATTCCCGGCATATCCATCGCCGAACTACGTCGGGCCGACGTAATGTTGCCAAATCCTCTGTCTCCGTTTCGAATGACGGAAGCCACTGGCGAGCTACGTTCATTGGTCGCATGAATCGTGGCTCTATCCGTCCGTCCGTTTTCTCGTCCCAGTGGCACCTCTCGGAGTTGCCGATGAAACGGAAGAAAGAAAAGGTGCCTGTGGTCCTTGCTGTATATTCTCTTGTATTTTCACTACTTTATTTTACCGAGCTATGTTAGTAAAAGTCTATCCTCTTGTAATCCCAAGGTGAATTCTAGTGTGTCTTGTGTGCGGAGGTTTAGTGCTCCACTGGCTTATTTACAAATAGAAGGATTTCACTTTTTCCTGGTCTAGCAATATACATTTTCATTTAGGGAATTGCTAGGCACACACCCCCCCCAAAAGAGGGATGACCGCCCGTGATCTTAATAGCACGCTCAGATCGACAGAAGTAGCCGTCTCACTCGCAGAGGCACCACATCACTAAAGATGGAGCCACCGCCGCTGGATCGCGTCTACGCGTCGTTGGAAGAAGCCGAGACGGAGATCTTTGCCTTTGCTCACAGGAAGGGGTACAGCTTGAGTCGCCTGCGCTCCAAGGTCAACAAGGGCGGCGAGAAGCGCAAAGTATAGCTAGCCTGCGCACAAGCTGGTGACTACCGCAACGTCCGGAACTATTTGACAGAAGAGACCAGGAAACGAAAAACAAGCAGTTGCAAAACGAAGTGCACCTTCTTTGTCGTTCTTCAACGCTTTGTCACGGAGCCTGACGCGGAAAATGCGCTCGGCAAGACGGAGTGGCGCCTTGAGCTGGAGAACGGCGAGCATAATCACCCTGCCGCCACTGACATCTCCGCATATCCCGCAGCTCGCAGGCTCAAAGGCGATGAGCTTTGTGGACGAGTGGATGTATGCACATGAGGGGGGGGGTGTGCCTAGCAAGGGGGGGTTTGTGCCTAGCAATTCCCTTCATTTATTAGAGGTGAGCGTGTTACCATCTTACATATGCATCTTGGCCCTACATGACTTGTTCTCCGTACAGAGATAATATAGCTATCCATGATATGCTATGATACAAGATGGTGTATACCTTGTTGTGCCCTAAGAAACCTCTATGTGAGATATAAACCTTCATAAGACAATGACATTAGTATGTCCTTTCGCTCTTATGTTTGTTTGAATGTTATCAAGTTTATGTTGATTATAACTTGCAATCGTATGATGTGGTTACAAGTCTTATTGTCATAGAGCTTTAAAGTCGATGGTTACTCATCGTACTGGATGACCAGTGAGCGGCAACTATCAAGATAAAAAAACATAGGGGTCATTTATGTGTTGGTATAGCTTTAGAGTTGCATGGAACTCTATTCACTAACACGAGATATTGCACTAGACCAAAAAATGCAACAATATATAACACTCTCTTTTGCTTCCATGTAATCTTTTAAGTCCAAAGAAAATACATTTTTCCTCAATGAATTACACAATGTTCTTATGTTTTATTCATTATTTTTCAATGTCATTATTGACACTCTTTTTTTAACTTTCTTATATTGTGAAATTAGAAAAAAATTTGATCAAAAGTTGAGATTATGAAGCTCCAACAAGAAAACATTAATTCCAAGATGCAAAAAAAAAATCTCCCCACAAAAGAATAAAATGTAATACATTACAGCTTATATTTTTCAATACTGCTGGTAGTGCAGTGGGCGTTAAACTTTCCGTCTTCTGACTCTAGGAGTGCGGTGTTTTGTAAGCTGTTTGGTAGAAAATATGGCTCCAGTCGTAACTGTACTGCCATCTCTCAGTGCTTGCAGGAAGCCTAACACTTCTACTCTTGAATATTGATTCCAAAGAAAGCTTACACATCATAATCAAACTAACTTAATGAATCAAAAGTTGAATCCACATCAACATAATTCATAAATTACTATTCATTTATAGTGATAAAGCTTTTTTTGAAAAAAAAAATTGGTAAAATTATGATGAAAAAAAATCATTAAATATGGCATATATTTATTTATATAATTTATATCAAAATATTAAATAATCAAAATCTCCATATTATAATCACAATTTTTTTGCAATTAAAGCTCAAAATCATTAGATAATATTTATAGCAAAAACATTATATACTTTATGAAAAAACTAATTTGATATTTTAGATACATAATAGTAATCAAAGTAAAAACTATAAATTCAATAAAATACTATTTGACACATAAAACTAGCTTTCAAAGTATCATGTTGTTTATTTAAAGATAAGATTAAGTCGCATTCATGATTTATATTTGAAGGATGCAAAATATGATTAATTTATATTCAAAATAATATATATTTATTGAGAATATAAATTTATTATATTATTTAAATATTTAAATAAATATTAATATATAAAAATATTATAATAAGTGTTATATATATGTGTGTGTTATTTATTTTTATAGGGTAATTATCTAAAAATTATTGAAGATTAATTAATTTTAGATATTATCATAAAAATATGTGTTTGTATTTCAGTTAAAATAACTTTAAAATTGTAACAATTAAATAAATTATTTATTATTATTTAGAAATTAATAAAATGTATAAATTCTGATTTATATGTTCTTGTAATAATTCTATCTTTTATTTTAAAAACTCTTATTGAATTGAATTATTATCAAAAGTATGTATCTTGATATTATAAAAATTATTTGCATTTTTAAACAAAATCACATGAATTGATAACATCAAAGTTCGTAAAAATTCAGATAATGTTAATAATCTTTTCATAATTAACATGATTTGAAAATGAGGAATTGTAATATTGCAATTAAAATAATTATTTTAAGATAATAATATATATATTTAATTATTATATTTTAAATATTTAAATGAAAAAAATTTATAACATTTATGAATGTAGATTTTATGAATTTTTATGCGCATTTTAAAACAAAATCACTTGAATGATCAAATCAATTTCATAAAAATCAGAAAAATCTGATTTACATATAACCGTTATATATATATTTATATTTATATTTATTTATTTATTTATTTATGTGTTATCAATTTTACATAAATTTATTATATAAAAATGCGTAAAAATTAATTAGTTTTACATATTATCATAAAAATATGGGTTGGTATGTCAGTTAAAACAATTTCACAAGGTACATTTTTGCTAGTGTCATTAACACACTTATGATGTCTATTATAATTAAATTTTATAAATTAAACTAATAATTTTTTATTATAATTTTAAAAAACGTTGACCTGCTACTGGCAGTTACCATGAATTGATAAAAAATTGTTCTTCTTCACTTCTTGTCACTATTAGTCGCCGATCGAGCTTGCAACCGGCGGAACAGTCGATAAAGAAAACCCAAAGTCTGGATAATGCGTGAAATTTGTTTATAATTTCCACGTAGTATCTACGTCTCCGTGGAAGTGTTAGTGAAAAAAAAAATTAAAAAAAATTTCATGTTAATCCACGCACTTGGAAAATCCATCCTCGTCTTGAAGCTCACAAAAGTTTTTTCACAATATAAATATTTTTCACTCTCATCCACGCACTTCACAGTTTCCATGTTATCAATTGTTTTTCGCATTAAAGTTACATTCTTGTTAGTGCCATTCACACACTTATGATGTCTATTATTATTAATTTTTATTAATTAAATTAATGATTTAATATTATTATTTAAAAAATGATAATACACAAATTTTAATATGTTTTTAATGTGAAAAATGTCAAGTATCTACACTATACGCCATGAAACTGTAAAAATATGTATCAAATAATACAAACCGATTCTATCCATGATTATTATTACAACAACCAAAACTATCAGTTAACCCTACTTTGCAAAACAAAAATCTAATTGTACAATTCTGCACTCTCTCCGCTACTCCCATCTACTCTCTACAAAAATTTTGAGTTTCAATTTCTTATTTTTTCAGCAAATTTTTTTTGCAACTTTGCATCGCAACAATTGTTTCACTAGTTTTAATTGATTACATATTGATATTTCCTGCACAGATAGCAGTAGTTGGTGAAGAAACTCTGGAACTAATTTTTAGTTATGGAAAGTAAAAATAATTTTTTTAAATATTCTACAACAAATTTGCTTTCTTTGAATATTGTGAAGTATTATACTGAAGTTTCGTGTGAAGTTTGAAAGGCTGCTATTAATTTTTTTTCTTGTGGTTGTTCAAAAATCGTTGATGAACAGATCTACGAGCAGCAGAGAGTAATGGAGTGGCAATGGGAATATAAAAACGATTATATTCTCTTTGAAGATATACAGTTCAGCTAATTATTATTTAAATTAGAATAAGTTAATAGATATTTTTACATACTTGATAAATTTTTTGTCTAGATTATTAATAATCTAGATGCAGAACATTTATATGGGAAATATTATTATCCCATATAACAGAAAAGTCACCTGAGTATAATTATCAAGTATTATGCTCACATCACATTGATTAATTGATGTGGGTGCATGAATTTGTCAAAAACCTTTTGCCAATTTTGGCCATAGAATTATTAGTATTTTGAGAACATATGTACACAATAATCTACAGAAATTAGATTTAAAATTCAAAAATGTTGTCTATTCAATACTAGGAGGTTTGGTTTGATAGCAGTTTGCATTATTATATGATAAAAAACAAAATTATTTAAAAAAATTTAAATAGAGAAAAAAATCAAGTTTTTTTTAATTATATTACTCACTATAGTGTGTTTTTTTATTATATTTTAATTTTCAACCTATCAAACTTGTAAAATTAAAAAAGTTAAAGTTCTTAATAAACTTTGAAATTATGTCAAAATAGAAAAAAGAAATATTGTCCATGTTTGAATAATATATTATAACAATATTTTAATTGATGTATAGATTTATTATATTGTTAAAATGAAAATTCTTTTAAAATATAAATTGATAAAAAATCAATTCATTTTAACATTTCACATATTCAATTATCTGATACAAAAATTTTATTTTTAAATAAAATTTTAATTTTGAACTTTTATTTTTAATTTATTTTTAAATAAAATTTAAATTTTACAATTTAACATTACAATAAATTATCAACATCTATTTCATAAGTTACATTGTACTAAAAATCTTTAAATATAAAATAAATGAAATAACACCAAAATATCATATCATTTCCAATTTATTTCAGCTCTGATTTATATCTAAAAATATTTTATTTATTTTTAAAGTTTTTATTGTCTTTATTATGATTTTTTATAATTAATTTTCATATAAATCAATATTTTGACTTGAGTTAAAACTCACGTGAATTGATATTAATCAAAATCATATTGTTACATATGAATAATTATAAATGAAGATCAATCTTATAGTTTTTATAAAAATAAGTTTATTTTTTATTTTTTTAAGATAAAATTGTAAAATTTTATTTTTCTAATCAAGGGTTGTTGCATGTTGATGATGTGATGTGAGGGGTGAGAGTAATTAGAGAGTGTGTGAGTTTTTGGGAGCACGAATAACACATCCATGTTGATTGGTGGATTGACTGACTGAAATTTATATTTTGCATGCATATGATATATTTTAAATGTTATATAAAAAAATTAATTGCAATTTTATTTTGATTTATAATAAGAAATTAAAATATATATTTTTTCTTTTAATAACCATATATAATTTGTGATATAATATATGAAATTGAACCTGCGATTACATGAATATTGGTTTTCAAATTTGCACATCTAACGTTAATAAATATTTTAATATGAACTTGATTCTCAATGTTAGTTAGAAAAACTGAATTTTTTTAAAATTTTGAAATATCAAAATTTGACAAAATTCTAAAATATATTTTTTGTTCTAAATTATAAATTTAATAGATGTAAAAAATGAATTTAGTTATGGTTTTTAATTTTTTATTCAACTCATAAATTTACAATTGATTACAATTGACGATCTTCTCTTTACTTTTATCATTTTAAATAAGCTGCACAAAATATAAATCAAATAAAAAATCTTAGGCGATATTTTACAAATATGACATGAAACTTAAAACTTTTCAATGATTATTTAGACTAAATTTATGACAACCAGTTTTGTATATTTAAATTTATATTTTTTTAATAATAAGTTAAATATTGAAATTGATATCAAAATATCTATAAAAATATTTTATTGTTAAAATATTCACTATTCATTTTGACTTTATATTATACCAGGTAAGATAATCATATTTTACATAAATTTTAATAATATTTATTTATAACATTTTTATTGATTTTGCTTTAAACTGATCATAAGAAAAAGACTGAAAATACTACAAAATATTAATAAAATCTTGACTTACACTTTATATCAAGGTGTACCAAATGCTCTTATTGAATGTAGTTAAAGCTAACTACAATTAATTTTATAAGTTTTATACCAATAAATAATATTTTCAATTCCTATTCAAACTATGCATTCATTTGAAAGAATCTGAAAGTATTTGTGTTGAATACTTATAAACTAATTGAAAACCAATGTTTTCACTTTATTTTAACATTTTAACATTATTAAAGTGAATACATAACCCAAAAGATGAATTTCAAATTTATTTATTTATGCGTATAAACATACGTTGTATGTAAGATCAAGGGTATAATTAATAAACATGTGATTCAAGGATAAGAGTTCATAGATAGTTTGTAAAATAGAAATCTTAAGCTTGTGAATATGATGATACACTTATTAACAAATTGTTCTTTATTTGAAACTCAAAATACAAAAAGTTTGATTATAATATTACTTTATGTTATGTTTGAAGTATTTAGATCATTTAGAGTCGGAATGAATATCAAGTAGATAATATAAAAGTATGAGAATACATGAAGATATGAATAACATGTAGTTTTTAATGAGATATCTGTACTAGTACATGATACTTTACATGTGTGTATATATAAATAGAAATTGATCTCATAGCATTGGAAGAAGTGATGCAACATTCAATACATCTTAGTAGAAGTTGGTGGATGGATTGTTGTTTGCTTGATTTAGACATGTTTGAAGGGGAGTGTTTTCTGGGGTACAAAGTGAAGTGAGACGAAGAGTCATTTAAGAAACCCTGCTCTGATGTGTTAATGCATACTTAAATAACATATGAACTAGCTCAGATTCCTGGATGATTAAAATCAGCTCAGATTCACAGCTCAAATCATCGTGGATAACAACGATGAAATATGTGTAGATAATGAGTGGATGAAGTCTTTTAACAAAGTGCAAAACGTAATTCATTGTACATGTATGCGCATCATGTTCTCATGATTTACTGACGGATAATCATAAAAAAGAGTTTATCTTTCATCTTATATGTAAACTTTGACTGGAACCATGATGCTTGAAAGTATGCAACCAGTTCAAACTGTCGACGCATACTGGGTATCTTTTCACGTAGGGACATGGGGAGTCAGCTCTAGGACTACGAAGAACCCGTTTGCATTCGATCAAACTTGACCGAAGCTGGAGACCCAACCCTTGACTTGGGTTGACAAGCAAAGTTCATCCGGAAAATCAAAAGGTACAAACCCACAAAATACAAGCGGAAGTGACAATCAGATTCCAAATTATTTATTGAAAAGGAGAAAACTGTCCCAATATTTTGGACCCATCCACAAAAGGCGGGCGAATAGTTTTAGATAATGAAAGGGAAAAGCTTAGATAAAACAAAAAGCCTACAATCCGAACAAAGCACAAGCAGTCCGATGGACTTGGAGTGTCGACGGGCGGACGGAATGGCCACTTCGTCCAGAGTGAAAACTGCCAAGTGACCAACAACAGAGGTTGACTTATGTTCCAGACTCAAGCGAAGAAGAAGGAAAATCGCGAATCCTCGGCCTCGCCGAATATAGGGAGGAATGTAAAATGATGATGGGGACAGTGGCAAAGTAGGGTACCACGTAATATAGCGAGGGAGGAGGCCATCAAAGGCAACCGGTACAGTCGAGGCATAGGCTCCCTAAAGCAAGGGTTATCCGCTGGTATGACGACGTCGCTACATGGCAGTAGGTCATCATGTCATGAGCCATGAGTCACAACTAACCCTAATTACTGCATCCGCTAAATTGGGGAAACATGAGCGATCCCGAGGCGCTGACTTTTCGGAAAGCGGAATTTTAGCGAAAGGTCCTGGGTCCTGGAGACTGACCGGATAGCTTCGAGATCAGCGTCGGTGCCGCACCGCAGGTAAAGCGCTGTGATATCTGAGGCTCTGGGTGACGCCAGCCTTGATTTCGAGCCTAATGTCAGGCGACACTTTCAGGGTCCGAGCCGATGTCAGTTGTCAATTTCAATGCTCCGAACCTGAAGTCATTCGGCGGCTTGCGGTTCGCAACCCGGTTCGGCCCCGGCCCCGGCCGGCGTCCGAGATTGGTCGCCCTCATGCCCGGCGACTGCGAGCACGATGACCCGCCCCTCCCGCTCCCCGCTCGCCCGCCCGCCAAGAGCCCGGCGACGAACGCGACGTCGGACTCGGCGCGCCGGGCCGGGGCCACGGAGAGAGGAGCTCGGAGCTCTGTCCGAGTACGAGCGAACGGAACCGAAAACTGCCGGCAAAGCCGAAGGTAGAAGACGACGAGCGCGGACGGCGAAAAAGCCAAGTCCAGGTCGACCGAGAGAGATGGAGGAAGCAGGACAGAAAGCCGTAACGCCGTAGCATTTGTCAAGGGCCTACATTGTCAAGGTCGAATTAGAACGACGAACCGAGTACAGTCTCGGATGAGCCTCGTCAAGGCTCGGGACTCAGTTCTTCCTTCTCTCCCTCTTCCTTCCCTCCGCCCGCGCAGACGCAGACTCTGAGGGAGACATTCGGACGTTAGGCAGAGATCGGGTCTCGTCGATCTTCACGCGGTGTCCGAAGACTAGCTCGTTCGTAGTTAGCTGGAAAGTAACGGACCGAGTAAAACGGGGGGTGCGGGGCGGGGCGGGGGGGGGATTATTTATTGTTGGCAGTCACGGAGCGCGACTTGAGTTGTGCCAGAGTTAGCGCAACTGAGAAGGTGCAGCAAAGCGAAGAAGAGGGGAACGTACCCGGTGGACTTACTGCACTGGGCTGGACTGTGGACTGTGGACTGGCTGGGTCGCCTTGCCTTGCCTTGCCTTGCCTCGTCTCGCATCGAGCCTGCCTTGCCTTGCCATGCCTTGCCTCGCATTGTCTGGCTGTCTGTCTGCCTGCTTGATGTGATAGAGTGCGTTAGTGAGAGTGACACATACCGCCAGCAGAGGCAGCAGAGCAGCAGCTGCAGAAGCAGCAGCAGCGACGACGACGACGACGGAGTGAGAGAAGGAGTGATTGGGACACTAGACCCGAGAGGGATTTCACTTCGTGCTCTTTGTGCGAGAAGTTTTAGACGCTTGTTAGTTGTGCCTGCAAGCTGCTGCCAGCAGCAACTGGCAAGCAACGAAACCGAGCATTTACGCTCGGCAGCAGCTCTCTCTCTCTCTCTCTCTCTCTCTCTCTTTATCTCCTGCGCTCACACATATGGTCTTCTCCAGGAAAGCAGCGTAGCTATTGCCGGAACAGGCTTCTTCTTCCTCTTCTTCTTCTTCTTCCTAAGTTGTTGTGGTGCATCATCCGGACGGAGGTCGTGAGGGGTTGGGTTGGTTTGTTCGTCGCCTCGTCGAGATTGTCGAACGTTTCGCGAACGCAGAGCAGGTGGACGACGCATCGTATGTTCTGGTAACGATACGAACTTCGTGGAAGCGAGTTGTCCTTCTGAGGTCTCACCAGACTGTATCGCTAGACGACGAGGCAGCGCTTGCCCAGGCGAGGAGGAGGAGCGAGGGAACGATTGAGCTTAGATCCAGTGATGTGATATGAGTAGTGTAGAGGTCGGAGACCGTGGAGGCGAGGAGGATTTGGTGTGTCAGCATTCGTAGCGAGTGGGCGAGGAGGAGAGCGGGGGAAGTGAGAGGTGGATAGTGGACAAAGGGTGTGTGTTAGGAAGAGATTTTCGTCTTAGATCTGTGATGAAAGAGGCCACAAAGGAGCCGGCTGAATAGTACTGGACAAGGTGCAGCGAAGTCGGATATGGCAGCAGTGGAGACTGGTTTAGGGTCGTCTGGCCAGAGTAAGGGGAACAAGGGGTGTACTTGGAAGTTTCCATGGTCTTCCAATAAGCAGCATTCGGGCGCGCCATCGGCCTCTTCGGTGGTGCCTGCATTGAACGGGTTGCCGGGCGATCCGTCCACCTCGCGCACCTCGGTTTCTGCTATAGCCCGTGCAATTCTTCTCAGCAGGCGTCGGTTGAGGCTCGATCCTGACAAGAAGCTCTACTTTCTATGTGAGTTTAGGTCTTTGCCTCTTTAACCGGGACCACGCATTTCCAGGACCTGCGGGATGCCTGTTTCCTCATTGTCGTACTTTTCTCATCCAGCTCACGTGCATTCACTTGTGAACTAAGCTCCACTGGCCCGTATAAATGAGGAGTTTTGAAGGGTGACGGAAGTCTTAATGGAAAGCTGATTGAAAACTTCACAATGTTTAATTGCACGTGGAAAGGCTGCCCTTTCAGTTGAACCTGAATAATACCCCAGCTGGTGCATGATTTGGCAGCTAAAAATAACAACTCTTAGCAGGGAGTGCAAATTATCATGGTTGAACAGGGAACTGGGAGTCGGGATGCGCAGTCTCCGGTTTAGTGAATTGCATTTCTGTTCTAGAGTTACAGCCAGATGAGTTGAAAGCATAGAGTGAGGTGTCTTCAATTTTACGAGGACGGTGTGCTTTTTCTAGTCACATGAAAGTATCTTCGATGGCTGCGAGTCTATCTTCATAATGCTAACTGAGCTTTGAACCTTTAAAAGCCCTCGAATGGCGGGATCTTAACCTTGGTAGCATTATTAATCGGGCCATTATTGTCACGGGATGTACTATCCAGCAAACTTTTGTTCCTCCTTACTTCGCTTCTCTCAAAAGAGAAGATGTTTCTCTTTTAGGGAGAAAAGTGTCTGTCCTTAACAATATTATCACGAAAATAATAATGTCCGGCAGAATACTGAAGCTTTGCTAAGCTAGAAGGCTGCAGTTAGGCTCTGTTCTGAAGATCTACTGGTTGAAGGAGTATCTTCTTGCAAATGATCGTGACCAGTGCATCGATCCCTTATGGTCTTTTGTGTCTATCTCAGATGAACCAGGTAAACAGGTGTCTAGCGCCGTGAAGATCAAGAATGTCAGCCGCTCTCATGTGGCCTTCAAAGTAAGTCCCTATTTTCCCATGGACCTCTGAGTTTCTGTGCACTGAGGAGGAACTTTTCGTTCGAAAATCATGATTTGTCTTGTCAACTATCATGATTATTGTCAGTACAAGAATTAACTCGTCATTGGTTCTTACAGTTTCAAACTACAGCTCCGAAGAGTTGTTTTATGAGGCCTCCGAATGGAATTCTTCCTCCGAACGGACAAATCATAGCTACCGGTGGGTCTCTGTAGATTATGTTCTATATTGGGATGGGCTATGTCCTCGTTTCTTTTTCACATCGATATGGTGTCTGAACTGTTTATTACTACAGTCTTCTGTTCGTACAAGGAGAATCAGTTTGTGTTGTTGTCCAGTTGGGAGGAATCTGATCCAAAAATGACTCCAGGCGGAGAGTCATGGGGTTTTCTATATGAGAATGTCGCAAAGGTACATGCCATAGTCTTAAAACTGCTCCAGCTAAGTAAGTAACACCGTGATGTTGCAGTTGTTAAGTTCGTGGAGCAGCCAGAGCGTCCCAATGAGAAGAAAACGAAGGACAAGTTTAAAATCGTGAGCCTGGCGGTGAAGGACGGTGTGGAATATACACCAGAACTGGTGAGCATGCCATGTACCTCCTCGCTCTTAGAACAAGGGGATCTGTACTTAGGCTAATACAGTATTGAAGGTTTTAGATAAGAAACCTATACCTCTAAGGTGGTCTTCCACACCTTCATGGGGCCGACTTCGGCTAATTACTTGTAATTAACGTCTTGGGTTAGCAACTTATAGGTAGATTCCAGATAATTAAACACCGGAATAATCAAAGGATGAGTGAGTTTAAGACATCCGGTGGCTATCCCTCCAAGCAATGAACGCACCTAGAGCCAATTTCGGAAGTTTGTTCTGAACCAAGGAGCGATTTCATGGTTTTCTTAGTCTAAAAAAACTATGTGGGAGAAAGTTTGACGTCACCACTTGTAAGAAATTCTTTTGAGTACTGGCATCTGAATCTGCTTTTACTGCCTGTTGTTTCCTCTTCAGTTTGAAGAACAGAAGGAAGTTGTTGCCGTAGAACGAATTCTGCGGGTGGTCTTCTTGGACCCTCAACGAGCTTCTGCTGTAAGTTTCTCTGAGATGGCTCGTAATACTGAATTGTGTTTCATTATTTCCTTGAACGACGCATTTGACTGAACTAGTATGAGGCTGGGATGGACGTCTTCTTCATGTCCCTGATTCTTCAGACGACCTCAACTCGAGGTCTGTGGACAAAGAGATAAACGTGTTCCTTAAATTATCTAATCGTTCTCTTCCTCCAATTGAATGATAGTTGTCTTTGGTCATGGCTATGTTCTGTGCAGGAAGAAGTAGAAAAACATCAGAAACGGTTGGCAGAAGCAGAGGCTGCCCAGGAGGCCAGGAAGAAGCCTCAAGAAGAGAAGGCTCCACGGAACCCAATGAAGGAGGGACTAGTAATTGACGAATGGGTACGTTTTTCAAGTGCATGCCCTGTTGTGTTTATGTTATCACCTTTTTTTCTGCTCGGACCTCTGTCCAATGAAGTTGATATTTCTAGGTCCGCCAAACTTTAAATGCCGGTATTTTCTAACGTCAGGAGAATAATTTTCCCCTTCTGACGTCTTGGCGCACTCTTTACTTTACTTCGTATTTGTCGCGTATTGGGTGTGGAGTTCTTGTTGTGCCGCAGACTGGAAGCGGAAGCCATCAAGTCATGAGATGTCTATATCCCGCCGAAGTCAGAGCATGTTTGAGGTTTGAAACTAAAATACCAACTGTGTTTTGTGGCTGCAGAAGGAGCGTAGAGAAAAATATCTTGCAAAACAGCAAGTTGAACAAGATTCACAATGAAGAGCTTTAAACATCATTTCGAACTTGCACCTTTATGTGATCTTTGAGGAGGGACACACTTGTAATTGACACTCTTTCGGGGATGTGACAAACCAAGCTGTAAATATTGTTGTCCTCTGATGCCAATGCCATGTACACGAGGTTATAAGGAGTGCTCATGTGGCAGCTCCGAACTGGAAGTGCAAACTAAGTAAAATCTACATTCCAGCTTGCTATTGTGAACTCTGTTGCTGCCCTAGAAAGGTGTCCTTAGTGCAGGTTGCCAACGTATTTCTATTTGGCATTGTGGTATTAGAGAAGAAGTCCTGATCACAGCAGTTGTCCTTGCAGAAGGATATTTTTGTTTAGTTGTAATGATGGTTATTTTTAAAGGCTTGTTTTGGCAGTTAAATTACTGTAAGTGGAGAAGTATAACGTGAAGGGGTGCTTGTAATCGTATTATTCTCATGGAAGGATATTGATAAGCTCAAGACTTGTGTCTTGTTTCAATCTAGTGCAAGCCCTATTCTTCTTCACATGTTATCCTTCGGTCTTTTACCTGTAAAAAAATTTTCCTTCTGCGCAGTGTTTTGTTTTCTCTGATCCCTTGTACTGTTCCATCTGTCATCTTGCGTAAATTTGTTGCGTATTCCTAATTAATTGTTGGATTATTATTCGTCTCCTCATCGAAAGATCTTTGTATTTTGTATATATGATTGAGGTCCTTATGAAAGGCTGAGAAAGGGCTCAGTAAGCACATGTGACGTGTGAGTTCCCGTCGTGGTTTAGGGAACTGGTCCCCATGAGATCAGGTTTCTTCAAAAGTAAATTCTCGTTTGGCCAAGAATGACCACATGTGAATGGAGCAGTTGAAGAAATCACAAGAATATTCAGAAGTTCTTTCTAGAAGATGGAGTGTAAGACCTATACTCGCCCTCATCACTGCAGTAATCACCTGTAGGCTCGTATCTGATCCTTAGCAGCGCAAGTCCAACGACAAGTTCCCGTTGAATCCCGAAGTAGAAGCATTGTACTCGTCCATATGAGATTGAAGACAACTCGAGCATTTGGTTGATTCAAGACCAGAGGTTATGAAACTTTCTCCTACGAACATACGTTGCCAACAAACCAAAAGGCAACTTTGATTCCGTGCAATTTCAGGTACCTAGCAATGTCACATTTCTCAAGCCACATTTAATGGCTAACGGTATCATTACCTTGGAAAAGATTTGGTCCTTGAAGTTATCAGCGGTTATGCAAAGTATCTGTTACAAATATTTCCAACAGAACGTACATTAGGACAGAAAGGAATTGAAAAAACGGATGGAACGTAATCGTCCAAGCATTTGGTCTGAGCACACTTTAACCCAACCAGCCTAAGACCTCTGTCTTGTGCACTCAACGAATTTTCTATTTACACCTGCCAGTATATCCCTTGTCGCTGAAAGATTGGAGAGCATGATCCAAATTCAGCCCAAGGCGAACACGCCGGCCCAGCGGGACAGCACGAAAAGCCGTCTACAGCTCAGCGGAACGAATCGGCGGACCGACCTGGGTTGGGAGACCAACAGCACTAAGATATGCCCACGGTACCGTCTTATCGATGACCATGTTGCAGTCTTCTGGCTTTGTTTGCATATGTCATCATATAAAGTTGTGAAAGTATAGAGATTTGACATGCCAGTCTTCAGATTAGAAAAATCTTCCGAGAAACGTACATGGCTGAATGCAGACTGTTTGTAAGACATTTTAACATTGTTATTAATCTTTTTGACACATGATCGTCGATTAAGAGAAAAGGCGTTAGGCCAACACGTTCTAGTCTTGCGCATTGCATTACGTGCCAGCCATATGTTCCAGTTTTTTTGGGTGGAGTCTTGCTCGTGAGATACGACGAATCTCACCACGATGTGGACTCTCCATAAATCCCGACCAGAGAAAATGTGTACTTACAATTATTACATCATCTATCTCCCCTCCAATTTACATTCATCTTCCTTACATACTTAGATTACACTCAATATATAATCTATACACTATGCTTACTTAACCCTGATTCAAAATAGCTCCCTACCAATATGGCCATCCAATTTGAATTAATCTTACTTTTTTCCGTCTCCTGTAGAACGTTGATTAGTTTTGCAGTACATGGCGCGAGCACAAGCAAGACCGCATTCTAATGGCACATCATTCTACGACGTCAACGTCATTACTTTTATAATTAGCAACCACTCAACCACTCTCTCCCAAGGTACGGTACGATCGAACCGAATCATCTCCAGCACTGCTGTGCATAAGTCCAGAACTCCACGATGGAACCGACTTTTTTGGATGCAAAGATGCTCCCGCATACACTTTTCATTCGACTGCACCAAGTAGATAATCTATACTATGTCTTATTTACAGTGTACAAAAGGATTCAGACTTCTGCACGGTAAGCAGTACGGCGTTCGAAAAACATGTACTCAAATTTTCAATTGTTGTCAAGGTGACAAACATCCTCGTCTTGACTGAAAAGCCCCTTGCTTTGTTTACAATAGAACCTTATAGACACAGCAGGGGGACCAAGTAATAAGGCAAAACTGATGGGAATACTCCATCGAGCGGTCCGTATCTCCCGAATCTCATAAACTACAAACTAGAAGTTTGTAAAGAGTTTCAATCTAGCCTCATTTGGCGCCGGCTTCCCAGACCTTGGGTGTGCAAGGAAACCTGTACTGTATTCTATTGCAGCATAAAAAATTACAGGTATAGATTTCCTGTCTATGGAGGGCAAAAGAGTAGGGCCATGCACAAACATTAAACTCTCCATAGAGTTGTGGTAGTGCGGCCACATGTATGAATTTCAATTATTCCATTCTAGTAGACGTGCCCTCCATCCAATGTTCAATGTCACACCATCAAATTCTACCTGCCTTTACATCGTATAAACCCCACAGCGCACACCTACAATCCCCATGCTCAAAATACGATATACATGTTCCCAGTCACAGTACAACACAGCACAGCACAGCACCTGAAGCAAGTTCAGGTAGTCGGTTCAATCGGCAATAGTAATCCGACCTGTCGCTTGAGATTCACGATAGTATGCAGTGGAAAGCGACCCCTTACAGGTTACTGACCTAACCAACGTGTGAGCGCAGCACGATGTGTCCGCCTCGGACATGTCACAGTTGCATTCTCGGGAAAGGCCTTTCTATAGCGAGGTGAAATTTGACATCGGAGGCATATCCGGTAACTTCTTCTGGCAAATCCGGGTTGAAAATGTGGAGCTCTGTGAACTGAAATGGTGGAGTTCATGCCTTTACTGACGCGGGTACAGTACTCGAGTTGCAAAGTCAAAGCCCGCGAGCAAACAGGGCCAGGGCTACCAGCGAAGGTTGTGCTCGGTGGAGGAGTAGGTACCGTGCTAACGGTAACGAATCCGAGCCCGTGATCTCTCGTATTCATGGAGACAGCGGCGGAAGGTCGTCGTCGTCAGTGACAGTCGTCAAGTCAATGAGTCCATCAATCAATCAATCATAGCTCGCTCTCCTTCGACCGTCTCTTGCGCGTGGGCACGAATCGGGTTTCCTCACTCGACCTAACTCAACTCATCATCAGCTCAGAGGTCGGTCGGTCGGTCGGTTCCATCCATCGCCCCGTCCTCAGTCACACCGCATGAACAAACGAATTGCCGAACGACGGAACGAATCAATGTGTCGGGCCCGAGAGGATCATCTTGTCGATGGAACGAGCACATTACAGAACATTGCGGTGGTAGTGGGACGGACAGCGTGCTAATCGATGAATGTCGATAGATTACAGTTTCCCCTTCTTGCGGGCGTAATTAACCGAAAATAGGCAGGCGCCGAAAGTATAAGAGCTTCGTAACTTCGTATTCCGATCGAGAGCGTGCGTGCGTGCGTGACATAGAGCGGGGCAGAAAGGGGAGCGTCCGAGACGTTGAGCTTCGAACTGGAGCGGGCGCGCGGGCGGGACGGCGGGGACAAGGCGCGAGCTGGTGGGTCGAGAGACGTTGCGCGGCCTGAATTGGACCTCTGCTCGAGAGGCGCTCATCCTCGTCGTTCGGATCGGGGGAGCAGAGGAGCAGGGCGTTTTGTTGAGACCGAGACGACGGCGGTCGATCATCTGCAGGTACCCTCTCGACAATCTGCAACCTTTTCCCGGAATTAATTTTGGACTTGCTGCGGAGTGTTCACCCGTGCTTCGTTTGGTCACGCTTCGTTAGTTCGTTGATCAATTGACATTGGGCTGGCGTTGAATGTCGGATAGTTTTTCATGAGAATTGATGAAGGCTTTGGGTTCAATCAGTCTTTGTGAAAGCCAGATATTCTCTCGAAACATGTATGGCCTCGAGATGTCGATTTTGAGTTCCTTGTTCTTTGAATACTCGAAGAGCCTTTTCCTCTGCAAGCTCGTAGCGCGCTGGAACAGTTGTTTGGAATGAAGTCTGTGAAGGCTGTTCTCGTCGTCGAGATGTCGAGCCCACGGTGCCTGCCTCATCAGGAAAGGCTAATTTTGGCTTTCTGAGGGCTAGGATTATCTCTTGGTGCAACGCGAACCAGAGAGTGGCGACTCTTGACAGATCTCGCCCGTCAGGTTGTCGCCGACATTTGTCCTCGTAGTCAGGCAGGTCGAGAAGAGAGCTTAAAGACCACTGTGGAGTATTGCCTATGGAATTTCTAGCATCACACGCCCTCAGATAGTCCCCGGATGAGGTCGACCTGTTGCTGTTGTGAAGAGCGTGTGATGTACACGAACAAAGAGCTCGATTTAGTAACCGGAGGTTTATGGATTTCAAAGTCTAGTCACATTAGCTCGGCGTGCAATGCTGGTCCCAGCTGTCCATTCAAAATCATGTCAGTGCCTCGTTCCTTAATTTGTCTCCCCCATGGCTCCCTTCTGTCCTAACGCGTGCCCACCATGCTCGCAGAATTGAATTGGACCAGCCTCGTGGGGATCCATCATCTTCTTGGCGGACAGGAGAGTGGGAGGGTGGCTGATCGAGCATCGTTGTTACAGAGGACACACTCTTCCAACAGGTTCATTTGTTCCATGGTACGAAGGGAGGAGGGCCAGTGATCAGGGTTCCGGGCGGGTAGAAGTCGGTGACAATGACGACGAGATCGGGCGCAAGTACGGCGTGCTTGGCGCTGACGCTTGGCTATGGGTTGGTGCTGATGATGGTGAGTCCGGTAGTATGCGACAGGCATGCGTCGGAGTGGGCAGTGGGCGGGGACGATTGCTTGTACGAGAGCAGGGAGGCGTGTACGAGGGCGGATGTGGCCGGTTGCGTTTGGTGCGATTTGCCTCGGCGATGTTACTCGGAAGCGCGCTCCCTGGAGCTCGGAGAGTTTTGCAACCGCAAGAAGGTGAAGCCTTTCGTGGAGTATACGACGTGCGACGAGGTGCAGGACCAGCATCGCTGCGAGCACACCGTGGGCTGTCGATGGTGCAAGAGCGAGGCGGTGGACGACGGTTGTTTCCTCGACATCGAGGCCTTGCGATTACCCAAGCACATCTTCACTTGTCCTGCCATCGATTCCAAATCGGGCATCGTCAATGTCATCGGCATAGGCATGTAGAAGTCCGGCCGTCAACTTACTCATTTTCACCATGATTACAATGGTCATCGAGAGAAGGTTTCTTAACTTTGGAGCAAGCGACGCACCTGATTAGCCGCAATCGAGTTGGCAGTGCTGAGTTCCCAGTAACATGATAAATTGCCCCGATGGTTCTAGTCGGGTAGGTCAAGAATGTCAGGTTGTCTATCGAGCACCGAGGGGTATCGAGTAAGTGAGATCGAACGACGTGAGCAGATGATTTACTCGAATGCCGAGTCCACCCCGGGCTGTCATCCTGCCGAGGACTGCGAGGACTGCGAGGATCGGTTCTACTAAGGAGAAGCGCGCAGCTCTTGGCTGCGATCATTCAATTCCAGGCTTCCAGGTCGGTCGTCATTATTGGTCGCAGGAAACAGATCAGAGCACGAGGTGTAAGTATGCCGTGTAGTTTGAAAGATTGCCGCCTGTCCCATCTGTTTCAAAGTTCTTACAGTTACCGCTTCTCTGCCGAAACACGCAAAATTCGATCGAGGATTGTAGAGCAATGTTGGACGCCACGTTCCTCTTTCTGTAAAAACTGCACTGCTATCTTGCCCGCCCAGCATGGGCAGTGAGGAATTGTCGCTGTACTTACTTGAGTCAAGAGTCCGGTAATATCACCACAACTGTAAGATTCGGGTATCCTTTGTTTATAGTGCGAACCTTTGACTGGAAAACCGTTTTGGATCTTATGTACTTTCAGTTGTTGAGCATGTGGTCGTCGTATTGCCGGGAAGTGAAGTTTAGCACACTAGACTGGCCATGAGCTGATCAACTCGAGCTTCTATGTGGTCGATTGTTGCAATGTCCATTACATCTCCGTTTAAACACACGTTCGTACAATTGAAGCATACGAAGGAAGGAAGTATTTCCCCAGCCGAAAGGGGTAAACATCATCTTCCTACTCGGGCAAACCGGTGTCTAGCCACAATGCATTAGTCCGCATGCATGTTCGCCAGTAACCGGGCGTCAGCCACCAATGTCATTTACGAATACTTCTGTCTGACGTACGGTGTTGATTATCGTATAAACCGAGTCGCGTTCGGAAAACTTGAACACGACTTTTCTGTGGTACCGAATTTGAGTTACTTGTAATTTGTCGTAGCTCTACACGAAATTCGTGCTCTGTCCATCATGTTCTACACCATACCGTCCGAGCTCTCAACGAACCAGTCGAAACCATAATCATGCCGAACCACCGGCAGAATTCCCCGCCTCATGTAGTCCAGAGCCACACCAATCCATGTAGAAAAGTTTTCGTCATGGTAAAAATAGCGAGCGCTTCCGACTTTGCAGTAGTAGAATAATAACTGCAGAGCCTGTCTCTGGATAAACACATCATTTGGCCGACTCAGCCAGCTGCCGTTCGTCAATCGGTGGTGCACATGTTTCGATTGTGGTCAACTATTGACGTTATGTTGCTGTCTACGCCGCAAGAACACGGATCACGACCAGAAAAGGTGAGAACACTGAACACTGAAGACGATAGCCGGAAGTTCTAGAGAAAGAGGCGAGAAGGCAAGTGGCCATTGGAGAGATTGAAAAGTATGCCTTTGGTCAGTGCATGGCACGAGACCAGTCCTCTCGCGGTAACATCGATCAATCCGAGTCCTGCGTCGTGACTGTAATTCGGAAGAGCTGTGCTGAAGCTGGAGCCAGCATGCTTGGAGTGGGCGGTGGAGGGGATGGTGGACATGATTGGCATGCATACCATGCCAGGCCGCAGAGAAGATTGAAGTCGTTGGCCAGGCTTGGCGTCCCACCTCGTTCCCGCCTGCCTGCCTGCCTGCGTGCGGGAACGAGAGTCAATCAAACATTTTGTTTTGAACTTGAGAGATCGATCTCTCCCGGATATTATCGAAGTCAACGAATCGGAAGTTTGAATGTGTGACGACGTGGAATTTAATAAACCGTTCTTGACTGCTCCACGTCTGCAAGTCAGTGGAAGTGTATGTACACGACAGTCACGACTGTACGATATTCCGTAACTTCATACGGCAGTAACAAATATGTTTGAAAACAATATAGATAAAGAGATTATATTACTTTGTTTACCTTACGGGGACATCCGGTTTTATGGTGTAGTTGGTTATCACGTCAGTCTAACACACTGAAGGTCTCCAGTTCGAGCCTGGATAAAGCCACAAGCCTTTTAGATTCTCCCGCACGCTGCCCTGGCCATATCTTCGTGAAGTGTCCAAACACTTCGGAAACTACGCTACCTGGCTGGCTTTAGGTCTTATCTTTTACGCGTTCGCATTTGCAATATCTTCAAACCTCTTTAAAGTGCTAGTCTTAGTACCTCAGAGATTAAACTTCATTGAAAAAGCAAGATGTTCGATTCAAGTTGATCAAAGTTTTCATTTGATTACATACTGCGATACATATTTGACGTCCCCGATGATATAAGACGTTACACTTAATCTTCTGAAATTGTCAAAATTTGCATGTTATTCATTTGAGTTTACTTAGTTTCTGCATGTTTATACAGTATCGTTTCCGAAATATCAGGGATATATATGGTGATATTAGAAAATTAGTCACCATAACTTCCATTCACAGTACTATTTATAACAGTTATATGATTACTGATAAATCTAGTCTGAAAATATGAGTTGGTACCAGATTTTTAAGTAGCAGAAAAAAATGTATTTGAATCTCCACTGAAACACATCTTTAATAAATTCTAATTTACAACAAAATCTCTGGATGAAGACTTACACATATATTTATTGAATTGTGATTGAATATCAAAAATTGCGTGTAAATGTAAAAAAATACTACTAAAATTTAAATATAATACTATTAAAAACTGAATGTGAAATATATAATCACTTTTTTCAAAATAGTAACAAATGAAATATCATATATAAATAGGAATATCATATTAAAAATATAAAAATAAGATAACGCGTTTTTCTTGCAGATTTTTAAAAAACATGCAAATTTATTTTGACATTCAAAAAATCAGTCTCTCTATCTCTCTCTCTCTATATATATATTTATATTTATAAAATTTAATTTTCACATTATTTGCATATAAGAGTATAGTTTTTTTAATATATAAATAATAAAATGTTTTTAAGTGTTTAAAATTATTTAAAAAATGTTTTTAAGTTCACTTAATTCAAGTTAATTAAATTCAATAAAGATGAAAATTATGCACTTGAAAGTTGGATCTACTAGAATTTACTTATATGAAAAAAGAAACAATATATTTCAAATATATATTGATATTCAAAGAATTGTTTTAAGGAATAAATTTAATAAAACAAGATTTTTTAATACATGTTTGATGTTCATACTAATAAATTTTAATCTCAGAAATTGCCAATACAGATGATTACGTAATATTGGTATAACTATTTAAAAAAATTTGTAATTTTTTTTCTTTAGCTTAATTTTCGAAATTGAAATATGTTCATTATGAAATAGTAAATCTTATCCAAATTTGAGTCCATTTGTATTTTTATTACATATAGTACTGAATTAATTAATGAAAAATATAAATAAGATAGAACGTATTTTGAAAAAAGTCTCATCTGCATTGTTGATTCATAAAAAAACATAACATTTCAATTAAAAATAGTGGAATGTTAAAACTACCACATTGAGACCAGAGACGTCACATGACTTGTCAAAACAAAATTAGAAATCTCTAGCTTCCTACGCAAAAAACACCTTAAGAGTTGATAATTCTGTGGACCCAACCATTGCCCTGCAACAAAGGATGGACTAGCTCTCTCTCAAGCTCATCCTGGAGTCCCAAAAATTGTTTTTGACAGGTGACGGGTTTGTGGTCGTTTTAACAATTCCCAAAAAATATACTACTTTACTAGAAACCTAGTTTTGTTTGCATCATATGTGAATTGAATATTTGTTTTAATCCAAAATGTAGCTTTGGATGACTTGTTTAGTTGATTTTTTTAGTAGATTAATCACAGTAGTTTAAATACAAAATATATTAGAGATACTAAACTCATTTCGCTGCTTTGAGAGGAATTACTTTGAAAACATTTTTTGCAAGAGTAAACGACTATCATCGTTCCAGTAGTTAAGAATTGACAAGAAGCTTGTAGCAAACAACATTGAAGAGAAAATTGATAATTCATGAACATCATTAAGCTCTAACACGTTTGTTCTATACTGCTTGACCAGCTGCTCGAATTAATTATAGATGTTACGGTATTACTGTACACAGGGTACTTAACCACGAAACCATTAACAACGGAAAACTTGATGTAGGGAGCCATCAGCTTTTACCAGGATGAACTTACGAGAAACCATGCACATTGCAACTGCGGAACGCTTTGCGAAGTACGAGTCTCCCTTTTCTGACGAAGGATTGCATGCGAAGGTTTGGAGAGGCCACAACCTTCGTTGTGGCCTCTCCAAACCTTCCACGAGATTGTGAACCACAAATTCAGCCTTCTCCCACAAGGAACATCGGATCCAGTTACACATCTGATGCAATGGTATCCATCCACGTGCGAATCGCCTGCCACATAAGCGTATAAATACATCGCTCACCAAATCGGCAGAAACACCGGCCGAAATGCATTTGGACTCATATCAAATCCACATTCAGCTACTGGAGAGCCGCGTGGCCGCCGAATCAGGACGAGTTAAACCGAAGTTGTGGTTTAGGAGCAGTGTCTTTTCCAGTCCCCGAAAGTGGCGGCGGAGCTCGATCGTAATTTGACGACTGCAGAAGCCGAAGAACAAGTCTTGCTCCGTAGCTGTCCAAAAGGGACAGACGTAAATGGGGTCTCGGGTTCAAGCAGCTGGTCAATCAATCTGTCTGTGGCATCGAGCCGCGAAGCTCGACAATGCGTATCAGGAGAAAGGCGGACATGTGCATCTAGATAGCCCCCCTGATGGATGGGTGTCTGAGATGCTGCCACTGCAGGGCCCTTTGTGCTAGGCTCTGTCAGGCTCTGTGCTCTCGTCGATTGGAGCATGGAGTATTTACAGATCGTTGAGTGGGAACTGCACTGTACAGTTGCAGTGGCCGCATGGTCTTGGACCTGGGCCCATGATCGTGAAGAAAGGCGGTGCGTGCTGCAGGATTCTCGTCCGTAGATGAGGTTTCTTGTTTACTTGTTCGCAGCTGGACATCTTGGGTCCCGAGCGAGGAAGAGTGAGCGAGAGGGATAAGTGGACGCCTTGGCCACACTTGGCATTGTTGCGGGCTCGACATTTTGTCTTCTCGGTGGTCCTGTCGTTGACATTGTGACATGGTCTGCATGGATCTCAAAGATGTTTTTTCACCCAATTCTTCATCATCTCATCTTCTCCACGAGGACGTCGTCCGGGTGTTTCTCGGAGATCTGGCAATCGTTCTATATATTGTACTTATGAATCGTCGTCGGATGACTCCTCCTGCGACTGCCACAGGAGAATGGCCCGTGGGTATAAGTGATCGAGCTTGGAGATGACAGATTGTCTACTTCTGACGATCACGATCGTTAAACTACAGGTACATTCACAACCGCTGGTCAGTCTTCGTCCTTGCAATAGTTGTGGAGCTGAATTTTGTGCAGTCGAGAGTTTTATTCAATTAGTACGCATGAATTGGAACGACTAGTGCCAGATCGTAAGGAACAGGGCAAGTGGAACATGCGTGGAGCTCGAGTTTTTTGCCATCTCAATCTTCATTTCTCTTGAAGCTGGCTATCCTGTACACGATGCTTGTCCACGACATCCAGCTTCAACAAAAGTGATGCTGAAATATATGCAACTCTGAAGTTGCGAGTTGATGTAATGTGCTTTCACTCGCACATGTCCGCATCTTGCAACTTAATACTGCAGGCTGTTGAAATAGCGAAGTACGAGATATCTGCACTGTTAATGTGGGGATTCAGTTCCCCTACGCTTTATTACTAATCATCATTTCAGCTGTTTACTATTATCATCATAACGTTGTCTGATTCTAGCTACGCGCAGAGAGAGATGCCTTACGAGGGATGGATTGGGATTGTGCCTAACTGGTCAGGTGATGAATTCCTGGGACTGTGCCCACTTCTCTGGGGACATTATTGATGCCCAATCTTTTGAAAAGAAATGGTGTCAAAACACTTCGAATCTTCTTCCTCGTGAGGCTCTACTGGATATGTCTCATTTCATGCAAAGCTTCACTCCGAGAGCAAGGGGTTTTGCAGCATTCTATGGTTCGATGGCTTTGAGCATCTTAGCGGCTTTTGAAATCAATGCTGACAATTGGCATATCTGGCTTCGTAGAGCCGACCTGACGAGACCTACCCGTGCTTGATACGTATCTTACTGGGCTTCGATGTGATATATATATTATAAAATTCTAATATGCTGCTGGATCTGCGCAGAAGGTCCGCAACCTCTCGTTGAATTGAGTATCGCTCGAGAAGAAGTGTGCCAGACGGAGCGATTCCAAGATGCATTTGACATACGAGAAACGCTTCTGGTCGAGAGCCGGGGAGGCTCTCAGGACAGGATTTGCCTGCCTGCTCGTGGGGATCATGCTAGAGTACGTGCCTGCAGTGAAGGACCTTATGGTGGTCTCAGTTCTTTCCTACGTTATCGCCGTCTTGGTCAGTGGACCTACATTAGGTACTGTTATACATAACGCGCTGGGGCTGCTGGCAGTGGCTGTTCCCGGGTTACTGTCTACTCTGATCGTCCTGCAGGTGCTGAGACCACCGATTTCCAAAGTCACTGCCGTCGCATGCATTGGAGTCAGCAGCTATTTCATAACATATTTGTCGAATACAAATCTACTGGGGCGGAAATCTGCGCTAGCTCAAGTCAGTATCGTGTACATTTACGCGCACTATGACAGTGGGATGAATGTTGTGACCTTCCCGTTGAGGATGATAGGGCCCGACATTCTTGGTGTTGCTATGGGCATCGTTGCGACCCTCATACCCTTTCCTCGCCTCGCCGTGTGGGAGGTAAGTTCATATTCTCTTCGCTGTGGATGGTGATTGGAATCGATTCTTTGCTCCTAGTACTGTTCGATTCCCTCATATTACTTTCATCTCCTTGGCAATTCTACACGCCCTGATTTTTAATATTCACACATTGATGCAGGTGCGCAGCAGTGCGAAGTCAGCTGCCAGAGGAACTTCAGAAGTTTTGAATTCGGTTGTGAGCGCTTTTTCTGCAGCCGATGCGAGCAGCTTTGGATCCATGTACTTGCATTCGAAGATGCTGGCGAAAGCTTCTCGAGAAATTCTAGCTACTTTGAAAACAAAGCAGGTGAGCTCGTCTGCAGAATGCCCTCGACTACTCTGCAGTTGGGACGGGATGTTTAAGAGCAAACAGCTCATACTACTCAACTTGTCGAGGAGTTTTAGTATCATGTAGAGGAATACCTTCAATTTAGTGGAATTATAGGGTCGGGATGGGAAGATTCGATAGAACTATTATTTATGGATTAGACAGTACATTTCGGACATGTCGATTTCTCACGCCTCATGTAGTCGCTGCTGTTATGAACACTGGACTGATCGTGAAGGTCCGGCCAAGCGGGTGAAATCAAGTCGGTCGAAGTGAAACGAAGGAGAATTTGTTGCCATTGAGATTGAGTCCGTCTAACTCACATGTAGCATCTGGATTCTGCAGATAAATCTGACCTGGGAGCCAGGATCAAAGAGAACGAGATCTAGTTTAAAACGAACGACAAAAATACTATCGGGCCTGAACCAGCATCTGACCGGGATGGAAATGGCGATGGAGTCCGGCCACTTTTTACAAGCCCCAGCCACGCTGCGTACCTTGCTACGCAGCCCTCTCGAGAAAGTAGTAGCCGTCTCGAAGGCCTTGCTCCAGTGCGGAGCGAAAATGGCTGAGCTCGATCCTTCCGAGCGCAAGCTTCACAAGCACAGGCTGCTCGACGAAGCGAAGGCGGTGCAGAATCTGTTTGACCAGGCTCTCTCGGACGCGAGACGGAAGGCGTTTTACGAAGGGGGCGCGATTGAGGGCGAGGGGCCCCGGGCCCCAGAGATCCAGCGCGTCAATGGGAATGCAAATGGGCATGGCGGTGGCGGCGGCGGCGAGGGAATTTTATGGATCGACCATCGGGAGAGCGGCGACTCCGGTTACGTCAAACGCAAGTTCCGAGGTCGCGTGTCGTCCTACTTTTTCCTCTTCAACATGCAGCTCTACCTCTCGGAAGCATTGAATTTGGTGGACACGGACCACAACACGGCCACGAAGATGCACCAGATCGCCATGTTCGGGCCTTCGATGCCGGATTTGGAAGAGTCCATTCACGGTCGCACCAGCGCTCTCGAGTCGATGGGTCTCTCTCGCGCTGTCGGTCAGGCACCGTCGAGCAATGGCGGCGGCGCTGGCGGCGAGGAAGCGCCGTCGCCGTCTCCAGACGGTAAGGAGTCCGGTAACCGCCGTCGCAGCGCAGCCATTTTCTCAGAAGACGCCGTCGTGGTCGAGGACCAGCGCCTCGTGTCGCTGAAACGGCAGTGCAGTCACCGTCACGGTGTGCTGCCGTCGAAGCTCAAAAAAGGGACCGCCCCCGTCAATCCGTCGGCGGTCTCGAGATTCTTCAGCAAAGCCCACGAGATTTTGCACAAGTGCGGGGCGAGCAGGGCGCAGGCTCGACGGTCGTTCAAAATCGCCCTGTCGATGGTCATGGCGGCCACGTTCGGGAATTTGATCGTCAGCCAGGAAGCGCACTCGTTCTGGGCCACGGTCACCGTGGGCTTCATCATCGGGAATTATCAAGGAGGGTCGTGGCGCATCAGCAGTCTGCGTTTGCAGGGGACGGTGCTGGGAGCGATCTATGGCTACCTGGCCTTGCGGGTGTCGAAGAATCACAGCTGGGCCAACCTCTTAGCTCTCATCCCCTGGGTCGTTCTCAGCAGCTTCGTGCGCTACAGCACTGCGTATGGTTACTCGGGCCTGGTGTCGGCCTTCACTGCCGCGGTTTTGATCCTGGGCGGATTCGAGAACGATATTCGCAAGTATGCCATGGACCGCATCACCGAAACTTTCGTCGGCGTGCTGTCGTTTGTGTTCGTGGAGACGGTCGTGTTTCCGGAGAGAGCGGTGCTGTTGGTCAGAAAGGAGCTGGTGTCGAGTCTGATCGGGCTGCGGGATTGTGTTGCGGCAATTGTGGCCGTGTACACTGAACAGGAGTGCCTCGACTGTCGGAGCATAGCCGTGCACGAGATAAAGGAGCTGGAGCAGCAGCTGCGGGCGAGCTTTGTCAAACAGTCTGCTCTCCGTGCTGAGGCCTGTCTCGAGCCGGACCTTTGGTTTGTTCCGTTTCCTGGAGAGGTTTACTCCAATCTGATCGCCATCGAAGGCCGGATGCTGGACTTGCTGTTTTTTATGGTCTGCTCGCTGCACGCCACCACGGAGGATTGTCTGACGGAGCAAATGCAGAAGCTGCTGGAGCCTCTGCGGACTTCTTTGACCGCCTTACAAGAAGAAGTCCTGTCCACCATCGACTCACTGCAACAGGTTTTGCAGCTCAAAGTCCAAGGGACTGGCAAGTGGAGTCGTATGAAGGAATTTTTAAAAGATCTCAAAAGGGGCAGCTCCTTCAACTCAGATGTGGAGGATCAACAACAGCAGCAGGAGCAGCAACCACCGCATCCTCTCCTGGTTCTCAACCATCCTTACCGACACGTCGATGGAAGCCCTCTGAATCTCAAATCTACCATGGACCGCTTCGAACAAAGTTTCGAGGACACTGTCGAGGATTTGATCGCATCGACCAAACTGCTGCCGGGCGCTCCGATTATCAGCAACTCAGTCATGCTGTCATTTGGATCGCTCACTTTCAGTTTGCATTCTCTACTCAGAGAAACCGTTCAGCTCGAGAAAGCAGTTCATGAGCTGGTCCAAGCCGAAAATCCCTGGAGCGTTCTGGATTTCTGGGACACTTATTCCGTCACCCAGCTTTGGGAGCAACATAGTAGTGTGAAGGCTTGACTGACATACATTCTGGTTTCATATCGGACGGTTTGTAAATTACGCGCAACGAGAGTCACATCCCAGCCCAAAAGTCAGTAGATCTGGATCTGGCTGGAAGCACGGTCTTGCTATCGGATTCGATAATAACATTACAGCATGCCATGCCAGACAGATCGTAGACACGGCTCACGCCGCTAAAGTGTCAGGGGTCAAAGTGTACATACATCCTCCTTGGTCACACGAGTTTTCCCACGGGATCCATTTGTGGATGCTGTGTGAAAATTCTTGTGCGAATCTGCGGAGGTACATGAGGATATTGAACAATTGAAGCGTCGTACGAACCTTCCGGTTCGACGAAAGCTCGACTCTACTCGACAGTGTTGCATGTAAGATGGATGAGGAGTAAGAACGGTTTCCTATGACGTAACTCATGGTTGTTTGAACCATCGAAACGAGGAGTTTGAATGTCTAAAGCTCAAGTAGACGAGATAGAGCTAAAGGAAACTGGCCCCTGGCATGGACGCAGAGGAAATCAATTCACAACAGAAAAATGCCAGCTCCAAGAGAAGGTCGGAGAAAGATTATAGCCTGAGTCTTATAATTTTGGAGAGAGCTAAATTGTTTCTAGATAAACCTCTGACTGAAATTTCTATGGGATATATAAGCTCTCTTGATAACTGAAACCATGAACAAGGAAAACCGTCTCGATGAACTGTGTTATATCGCTTGTCGTATTAACCACGTGTAATTACGTAACTCGATGTTGTGTGTGTGCAAACTACAATGTTGTTAGGAAAGGAACGTCTCTTCTACCATCATGAAATGTTATAAAAGGAAATAAGAGCCATTTTCACAACTACTTCTTCGATAGATTTCCAAAACTGATAGTATATATAAAAGTGTCTAACTAAGGTATATGTTACTAGACTCTATTAGTGGACTTTATAGTGCCAATAATTGCAACACCTCTTAAATGATACTCAGTACTGTGTATACTGATAAGTAAGGCATGTATCCTTCTGAACTATGTTTTCATTCTCTAATTGCAATTGAGAATGTAAAGTCAACTCTTTAAATAACTTCTTTTAACTGCTAAATTGCAAACTGGGCTTCTAGCTGTTGAACTCATATGTTGAATTCTCAACATCATATACAAATGAACATGATGAAATTCCAAACATATATCAACCCAATTGAAGTTGTAAACTACGTAGCCCACCTAAGATTATAATATTTAGATTTTTTTCCTACACTGAGCTTTAGATCAAAGGTGGAAAACTTGGAAAATGTTAGGAAAAGAGTAATGGTTTAGATCTATCTATTGTCAATTACTTATCTGTAAACAACTCATTTTTCTTCATGATATTTGCAATTATTATTGAAATATTATTTTGAAGATAATTGTAATTTTCAAATAATAAGTTTTTTTTATCTATTTACTATTTTAATTATCTAAATTGAACATGATTTAGATTTGATGGTATTCATTTTCTAGATTTGATTTTTTTGAATATAAGTTTTTCAATGTAGTAAAACTTAATAAGATTTATGATTCAACATTACTGATTCATCAAAAGAATTCATAAAAAACTAAATATTTTTGTTTTACAATTTGAATTGTCAATGAATTTTTTTCTATACTCTGACTTAATAAAAATTGACATGAAAATTTTAATCTTATCATTATACATGATTATTTAAATAATTAAATATTTATAAAAAAAATGTAGAAATATCATATAACATGCAATAATTTCATGTTATGTATTTTCACACTACCCAATTTTTGAAACATGCTTTGGCAATGTGAGATTCCCGTGATTTTGACCTGATTGTTGTAGAGTGTGCATGACAGTAATAAAAAATATTTTTATTTGATGTCTGAAATATTTTGCTCGTGACAAAAATATTGTAGAAAATCTTATTAAAACTTGGTATACGTTCAATTTCAAATAAATATATATTTTCAAGATTCAAATTCAAAAAGTAATATGTTTAAAGTCAAATGTACATTTGAAGTGTATCAATGCTTACATTTGTTTTGTCTTACAACCAAGATTAGCCAAAATCAAACTTGTAGAGAATTGCTAAAAGACTAAGATTTGATGTTTCGATTTTTGGACTTTTTAAAAGCCCAATTTTTCAAATGAAATACCTACAACATGTTGTAAGATTCATAAACGCTCTCTTTGATCTACAAATAAATATGAAAAAAGAAGATAACATATATCTAAAGTGTAGATAACATGTTACCTTGCTGGCATAGTCAACATTTCAATATTCTTTGTCATGAATTAGGATCCACAAACCTTAGAAATTTACAAATGTGAAGTTTCTGTAGCCTGAAAACATAATCTATACTTTTTTAAGATTTCTTTTTTCGAAAAATTTAATTTTCAAATTTTAAAAAAATCCTATGTAATTTTGGAGCTTTCAATTATTTGGAATATAGTTACCAAAAAATCCATAATCAGAAACATATTTCTGTGAAACTTAAAATTTCAAATTGTATGAAGATTTGAGCTTTCAAATGTCTAGATTGAATCTGTCGAATCATCCATACTAAGAAACATGAGTTATTCAAATGGAGTTTTAAAATTTTAGACTTGTCTCTTAATCCATACTAAGAAGAATGAGTTATTCAAATAGAGTTATAAAATTTTAAACTTATCTCTTAATCCATACTAAGAAACGTGAGTTATTCAAATGGAGTTCTAAAGTTTTAAACTTATCTCATGAACTCTTATCTGCCTTGACCTATCACGATTGATTTAAATTTCATAGATGAAATATTGTCGATTTCGACAATTCACGAAGACCTATATCTTGGAGTCTTGTTAGTGATAATATTCTTTTCGTAGGCAAGGTATTGTTTTCAAAGATTAAAATGACAGCTTTCCGTTTTGTTCTTGTATGTGCATCAAATCTGATTATCTTCTCACTTTGTAATTTAGACTGTTAGAGCTCCTAGTAATACCGCGAGTGAGATTAAATCCTTAGTTATATTTTTTGGATTGTTGGCCCTCCTCACGTAAATCCCGTAGTGCCCTAGTGAAGGTTTCTAAACCATGTTTCTCCTCCCCAATGACAGGATTTAGAGACTTTTACTTTACTGCTTCTGGAAATGATAGGTTTCAGTTTGATATATTTAGATGCATCCAAGTGTATTGAGGAGTATCCAAACAAGTCGCGTTGATGATTTGGACTCATGATACGAGAGTTAAGTTCGCGTCAGGTATTGAGAAAAAAGGCAACCAAACAATCCTTTCTAAACACAGAAAACACAACCAGTATGTTTTTCCAAGACAAAAGAGGCAGTTCAGAAGCTTTGTACGTGTTCATTATTTTAAGTGCCGCTCATTGAATGAAGATATGGGTGAAACAAAATCATGAATAAGAAGCCTGCATCAGTAAAAAGCGCTCAATGCAATAAGAAGGATTTCAACAAATTAGAATTACTGCTTGAACTGTCTACATCCAATCAAGGTCGTTTTCCGCTTTTTCCATATGTAGAGAGATCAGAGCAGGACGCAATTTAGTAGAATACTTATTACCCGCTAAGACAAAAATCTCCGTCCTGTCCCACCGTTTTTTTAGTAGATTTTGAAATGCTCTTAGTTTCAATAAAGCTCCAACGTCACAGATTCCCAAGCACGGGCCCGTGCTGCAACATGCCCACAGATACTCGTCAGACAATGTACCCCCAGAAAACCAGCTACAGAACCGTACTGCTAAGCGTAGAAATAAAGACCTTTCCAAATGAGCTTGTTATAATCTAAACATGAGATAAACGAGAAACATATACGGGTGGAGAAGAAATAATTAGATTTGCAAAATCGTTGTAGACTACGGTTGGTAAGATGTCAACCAAAGAGTTTCCGGGAACGACTTACCTGCCGCGAGGGGCACTAGATGTTATCAAGCCTATGCATCTACGATTGTTGCTCCAAGCCTCACAGAACGCTTCGGCTTTCTCGTAGCTGTCCTTAAGTTCTTCCTTTGTTCCATGACTAGCATTTACTGACTCCTCTATCTTGCCCTTTCCCTTGCCCTTGCATTTTTTCTTGCGCTTCGCATCCTTCGGTTGTACTGTATCAGGGCCTTGCCAATGTTTGAATCTGCTCCAGAAGTCGCCAATATTAAAATCAGAGCGATGAAAAAATAATTCCTTCGTTTTAAAGAAACGATGCGGATAGGCAAAGGTAAGAGGAATACCTGACAAAAGCATCAGAATCTTCTGCAAACGGTAAGCATATCACAGCCCCTTCTTCGAGAACGCCTTTCCGAGGAACGGATACCAAAACCCTGACGTAGCACAGCTTGTTATCGCCACTCAAAGACGCAGATGCAGAGAGGCTCTCCTGCTGGAGATCGTCTGTACCTCTACTCGTGATTTCACGATGAAGAAAGAGCAGAGGTTCGGATCCGCTTTTCTTCAACGATTCTAGTAAAGCATCCTGTGTCCTGGCCACGAAGAAAAAATGGGAATTCTTTTCTCCACGGTCGCTATTGCTTTCTGCAGCTCCAACCTTCTCACCTTCCGTCTCACATATCCCATCACTCATGATAGTATCTTCTGTGGCTACTACTTCGCACTCTCCACATCCACGCTCAGTGTCTGAAGTATTCGAAACGTCCACGCTTTTACCATCGATACTGGCGGCAGCGTCAGTCGCACTTCCCTCCACGGTATCACCATGAGGGTTCGAAAGAACCGAGTCCGATACCAACGCTGTAGATACAACTACGCCGTCAGGGTTTGAAGCATGATAAGTATTTGGAACTTCAGCAGGCGACTCGAATGGGCCAGATGAAGCCCTCGCATCGCCGTTCTGACGCTCAGTGGACAATTCTCCCTCGAGTTGAGGATGCATTTCAGTTGACAACGTAACCACTATGGAACCAGAATCTGGAGCTGATCTGTCAACTTCGACAACTTCGCTACATGCACCTTGCGCTCCCTCTGCGATTTGTGTGCAATCGTCGGAAGCCAGAGGGCCTGACATTTGCTGAGACTTTTCATCATGTACAAAATGGCTCATATCTCTCCCTGAGTCAGTACAAGTTCTTACGGCTTCATTGGTGTCGAGTGCACTGCTAGCCTGAGTGCTGTCCTCAAACAATCTCATTGTCATTACTTGAAGAGGAGACATTAGAAAACTTGGAGCCCTTTTGGCAGGAGGTCTCTTCTTATTGGCTTCACTAAGAGCTGCAACATCTGCTGTCAATAACTGAGCATATGTCGAACAGTCGGGAAAGTCGTGAGGAAAGGAAGGTATTCCAGCCTGCAATGTACAAGCAGAGGACTGTCAGCTAAGCCTTTTCATCCTAGCTCTGTGTTCTAAATAATCCAAGAGTAAGACGTCCCAATGCAAACATCTCGTACGCTTAAGCCAGCCAAAACCACCTTTAGTGATAAAGCTAGTTTCCTACATACTACACGAGGACTTCAGCTGGGTATCTTATGGAAGTCCAGTTGACAGGAGTATCGTACATTAGTGGCGACCCAATGCCTCTCACGAAGACCAATTACATGCCCTCCGCCAAAGACGAGTGGGATCCAGAAGGCATGGACCCATTTTATGGGCAAAATTATGGTCCATCTGCAGGCAAATTTAAACCATCAGAATGATAAACAGGACAGATTGATCCCCACAAAACAACAACTAAAATGGAAGGCCTTGGTAACCACACTACTTACCCACATGCGCCGAACATAGATGTCGAACTTTTCAAAAGAAGGACGGGACATACGTCTATCGTGCTTGTCTTGTCAGTGGCATCTAAGTTTGAACTATTCCCCTCCGCGTTCAACAGAAACTTCCTCCTTTCTGCCTTGCGTTTCTCACAGAGCTTTTTCTCACTCATTGGGGCCAACCTAGCACTCTTCCCTCCCAAAGGCAGGTTCCAGAGGTGCCTGCTGTCGGTTACCTCCCTAGAGGAACCCTCCTCTAACAAGCGCCACCAGGAAGTTTTTATGGCATCTTCTTCATCTTCCACCGCCATACCTTGAATCCCCTCCGAAGCTTCACCTCGAGTCCGACCTTCTTGACTATTCCCGACTCCATCTCCCGTGGCGAGGCTCAAAGACTGATTATCCTCGATCCTTTTGGAATGCATACCAGTATCTACGGCCGATTCCTCAGCTTTGACAATTGAAGGTGAAGACAGTGGTGTGCGCCGAGGGTCCAAAACATTCAACGCCAGAACGGCAGATGAAGGAAGAAACTCAGCTTTCGAAAAATACGTTTGATTCAGAGGTGTTTCGAATTCACCAGAAGTAACACCTTCATGTCCAGAGGGTCGACTGGTCGTCTTGCTATGGGGCAATCTCACCTCCCTGTAAACAGGACCATGGCATCAATTGGTGCCTTGCTGCACAAAGTATCAACACATATTCAATAACAAATATGAAGATGACTACTTTCGATATATACACAATGGCAGTATCTCCTCCACTACTTCGAATACTATACTGAAGATAACCTACGCTACAATCGAACCCACATACCGGCAAGTTGGATGTATCACCTTACGTATAACCTCTGTGGCTTTCATGCCCATGATCTCCAATCGTGCAAACTCACTCCTACGTGATCGACACTTGACAGGACTGATTTCGTTTTTCTTGGCCTGAAACAACCGCAACTGAAGGCTTATGACCAATAACGATTTCAGTCTATCACAGAGAAAAAGAAAGCGTAAGTATCTTATGTATGATAATATTAGCCGACCTGTTCTTCACAAGTTCTTGAAAGGCATTTCAATGCAGCCTCGTGTGCACCAGGATGAACCCATATCCACAGCTGTCTTTCTTCTACTGGGTTTACGTCAGCCGGAGACTCATCTGACCGCACTCTTCCTGCGTCCAAGCGAGAAGTTGGGGTCCTCCACAAGAAAGAGATAGGTGATATTGCATCGTAAGGCGCTCTTCCGTAATGATACAACTGCATCCAGAGTTCACCAGGATTGAACAAAGTGAGCACACTCTCATGTCTTTGACATGAGAATCGTGGGGAAACACGATCGTCAGTATTTTGTAGTAAAGTCGTTCCCTTCTCAATGTTTCATTCAAACACATAATGAGCTGCGGACATGTAGCACTTTTACCTGATAAGAGCTTCAAGGAGGAGAAGACTGATTACTACATAGAAATAACAGACTGCTTCTACTGGCCAGAATTTATGAAACAAACAAGAAGGAACGAAAGATGCACACACCATGGCCTTTCCTTGAATTAATCCTTCTGCTTCCGCCAACTTCACATTTGACGTAGGGCTGGGAGACCAGATAGGAGGTTCAACGGTATTTTGAAGGCAACGAGCAATTAAATCCTGTAGGCATTCCAATTGTCGGGGCCAAACTGTCAGAACAGTACTCTCACGACTTACTGAGTATTCATCGAATTTGAAAGTATGAATCTGTGAAATTCTGTGAAACAAGGCCTTACACTAGAGCCTTGTAGCTCGATGAGCCCATAGTAGGAAGCATCGTGTAACACAGCTGCTTCTTTCACCCATTTCAAGACTGATCGTGATCCTCTACCCCTGAAAAGAAAAACGGGATATCAGTCTGGTCCTGCAATGCTGCCCAAACAGTGAACACTTCAATTCTCAATTTCAGGTGGAATTTCTTAAAATGAAAATTTAGTTACAATATGCAATGCAAGGTGGCATTGTGAAGGCTCATACCTTCCGGGTAAACCTTCAGCAAGAGAGTAACCCCAACATTTAGTCATCGAAAATCGCTTAGCGTGCCAAACATGGGTACCCAGCCGCCGAGTACCGTCGTTTCCAACAACATCCTCACCCTGTCTGATACGCTGAAACTCCATCCGCCTCCGAACACGTCTACAGGGAGGTGGTCTATCTGCCTTTCGCTTTTCGGAAGCTCCGGTATCAGGACCAACTGCTGCTGCTGCTGCTGCAACAGGGGAATCATCGTTCTTCGATCTCTTTCGTTCCCGCGGAACAAGTCCACGATGTTTCTTCCGCTCATTCTGTAACCAGTAAGGCAGACGTCGAAGGTGGCTCGTTGTTCTTCGTCGTAAGTGACGAGCCTGGGAGAAAGAAGATGCATCTCCTCCGGAAATCTCGACCCGATCTTTCACGGCTTCGAACAGAGACTGCACCTCCGCAGATCGGGCAGCAGCAAAATTATAGATCTCGATGGTGCGAGGCGGCCCCACATGTTTTTCAGCCCCTGCATCCATCCTCCTGAATTCCGTCTCTGCCTACTTTCTCAGCTCAAATTTCCGGCAACATGCTCCTTGAATCCACTGCTAGTCCGGAGAAAACTCCAACTCGCTGCAAATTACGAACAATTTCTCGAGCTTGTCTGAACCTCGCGTCACCCTAAACACACAGAGCGTGTGCGCTCGTGTACATTTCAGTTCTGTGGAGGTGTTGAGCAATCGAGCAAAACCCTTCGATCCTGAGCCCCAGGGTTTATGCCACTCCCGGTGATCCGGTCACACGGTCTCCCCTGGTGAGCAGGGACGGACGTTGTTGGGCGCGTGGCTCTCAAATCGGAAACCGAGTACCTTCTCTGATCGTATCACAGAGTCCTCCGATTGCAACGTTTCCATATCGTCCTCTTCCCGGTTCTCGGATTTCTGTGACAGCTTACTTTCTACGTCCGACCCAAAACTTCAGTCTCCTAGATTTTCGTAACGACGTATCGCGGTTTTCCGCGGTAGTACTTGCATCTAAATTTCGTATTGTCCTTGAATCCTTTCAAACTACGAGGAAAACCTTTTCGTCAATATGTTATAGAGAGAAATCAATATGATCGGTAGCAACATTACAAATCTCCCTTTTCCAGGGTTTAGGATCTAAAGACTTATAAACCTTCAAACACAACAAAGCGAGTAATCTAGACCTTGCACACAACAAAGCTAGATCTTGCATTGGCTAGATATATATTACATATATTTTATCTTCCTCTATAACGGGAGCTACATGTTGCGTTTGTTATGTTTTCTCCAAGTATTGGTAATTTCCTCTTCTGTCAACTGCGATCAGTTGACCATAATGGCTGTATCATTGGCATTTTTTACAACATCAGCTGATCTTGGACCTTCGAGTGTATAATTTGAGTCTTTGCACAAAAGTAGACAGCTTTAACAGTTCCTAAAGAGAGATAGGTTTATCGTCCATAAACCCTATATATTTGAAAATGTTGTCGACTAAACTATGCAAGTTGTAGACATAAATTTTTTGAGTAATGAATTTACGAGAAAGTGAATAATAAAATATTTAATAATATTATTTTAGCACTTTATGGATGACAAATTTTGACAAAGCATCAATCTACTTAGATATATGCAAGAATCAAATGACGTTTAGATTTGGATTAGATCAAAATTGCTTTATGATTAAATAACATCTAACGTGTGCTTGATAGGTTTAATATGACATACATACATGTGGTTTAATTTGACAAGTTTAACAGATTTTGGGTCTCTTTGACACCACATTTTAAGCTTTCTACACCTCAATTTTTCAATTGATGTTATTGAGAAGTAAAAGATCATTATTTTATCTTTAACAAGAGAATAAATAGTCTAATGTATTTGATAATATAATCTAAATATGATATTGCTTCAGTTATGAGCAAGGTGAATTAGTACATGTTAAATCCATGTAAAATGCATTCAAAAGCTCTAGAATGAATTTTCAAATAACAACAAACTAAAAAGTAATATGGTTTTTTGTTTGATGATTTATTAGATATTGTCAAATCCTTGTTAGATTTTGTTGATGTTTACTATAGAAGAAATTGTTAGTATTAACTCAGGTCTTGTGTTAAACTCTAGTTAACTTAACTCAGATTAGAGTTAGGATTAGAACTAGAGGTTATGCTCATCATAAATAAAACCTTGCACTAAACACTTTGCAAGTCTTTTACTTAACACTTCCATGTTTCTGTAGATGTAGTCCGAAATTGTCGTGTTTTTTTTCGGAACCTAGAACTCAAAATTACTAAGGTCGTTTCCTTGTTTGTTTGTGGAGTATGACTGCAGTTCTTTTGAGTTTTTTTCCTTGTGTATATTTTATGGCAAATGGTTTCACAGCAGATTCAAGATATTCATCGAATGTTAAGATGGGATGGCAAAGGTTTCAGAACGACTAAGTAAAAATCAATTCAAGGAAGAGAAGATTAGATTTCAATGGATGAGCATGTAGTGGGCTTTGCGTGGAAGATGTTAGTGACGATCATCTTTTTGAAGTGCAAATTGTTGAGTATCAAGACTCATTTGTGCTAGTGATCATGCTGAACCCTCATTACTATGATAGACATAAGTTACAAAATAGTAGTATCCCATACTCTAGTTGCTCTCCACCTCTAGATGATTATGGTCAATGTGCATCAAGATTCCACCGGGTAGATTTATTACCTCCGATTACTTCCAACTGAGAAAAATTCCTTGATAAGATTAGAGACAAATGTTCAAAGCCATTGAAACACATCTTGACAAATCTGAAACATTCTAAACTGAAGGTCTTTATAGCAAATTAAAAGTTATGTTAAAAGGTTAAATGTATGTTGCGCACTGCAACTCTATGATAAAATTAAAAGACTAGATTGAGAATATACCTCAAAGATAGATTGTAATAGACCAAAAGTGAGTAGAATACCTCACAAAAGACTATGAATAACGCTTGAAGTGAGAAAATTGGAAGTAGTTTTGATAACAAGAAGAGTATGTACAACCATTGTTGACAAGAGTGAGCAACAATGTATTGAAACTCAATATACATACATACATACATATGTATATATATATACACTCGAATGTCTTAGTCTGGTGTACAGTCTAGTGTACATTAGACTTGATTTCAAATGTCTTATGTATTGCACTTTAGGCTAGATGATGAGTAAAAGATACACGACAGTTCTTGATGATAGAAGATTGCTATCCATCATAATAAAATTGATTTAAACTTTTGTAAACATTGTATTGTGAACAATCATCATAGTAGAGCTTTCAATGTTGGATTTCACACTTATAATAGTGTGAAAGGTAAAACCAAGAAAACATTAAACAATCATGAAAGATGATAACGTTTAAACTTAGAACCACTCATCATTCAGTCACACTGATACCAGAGAAACAAGAGTATAGCGTAGTTTAAACTTAGAACCACTCATCATTCAGTCACACTGATACCAGAGACACAAGAGTATAGCGTAGTTCACCCTCAAGGGCTACGTCCACGGGGAGAATAGTACTAGAAAGTATACTGCTCGAATGCTTGAAGTGATAGTATTCTTATCACCCTCAAGGTATATAAACCCAAGGTAGTCAACCACTCTAAGCTATAAATAGCTACAAACGCGGTTAACCTTGGTCAACTAACCTTAGTTAACTCCTTAACCAGAATTAACATCAACAAAAGACGGATGTAACGTGGTTCATCCTCAAGGAGGAGTGCTATGTCCACCAAGATCTCGAGCACCTTTACTTCAGGTCATGTCCAGAAAAGTCTCAATATACATGGAGAACCCCGAGGTATTTATCCCAAGTCCTGGCGACCATCCTAGCTATAAATAGCTAAATTGGAGGTTACTCCTTAACTAAAATTAATCTCAACACTTTCCCCTTTAACTCACGTTAAGAAATAGTATCCTCTATAACATACATTATTACTCCGCGGGAAACTCTAGAAAGAAACCTATCATAAGGTCCCTCTTTACGCAAGAGTTTGTTATAACTAAGCTGTAGTCATAACGTGATAGAGTAATGACATAATGAATTAACTAAAAACCAGCTAGCATAGAGAGAACAAAAATCTCGTAACCTATATAATTACTCCGCAGTAAGCTCTAGAAAGAAACCTATCATAAGGTCTCTCTTTACGCAAGAGTTTGTTAGAACTAAGCCGTAGTCATAACATGATAGAGTAATGACATAATAAATTAACTAAAACCAGCTAGCATAGAGAGAACATCAATCTTGTAACCTATATAATTACTCCGTAGTAAGCTCTAGAAAGAAACCTAATACAATGCCTTTCTTTACACGAGAGTTAGCTAGAACTAAGCCGTAGCCATCACATGATAGAGTAAATATATGAAGAGATAATTGAAGATACTATGTTAACAAATTCTAACTCTACTCCTCATGCTCAACATGCATGACAACACAATGTTGCTTGAAACTCTCTATAGAAATAATTTTGACCAACACATCAGTTGAATTAACTATACCGTCTATCTTGACTAGCTCAATCACCAAAGTTTACCGTCAAGATGTACTAGCTCAATTATTAAAGTCTATCGTCAATCTTGACTAACTCAATCACCAGAGTTTACCGTCAAGATGTACTAGCTTAATTATTAAAGTCTATCGTCAATCTTGACTAGCTCAATCATCCGAATTTAACGTCAATATTGACTACCTCAATCACCAGAGTCTACCATCCATCTTGACTAATTCAATCATTTCATCAGACACTTTTGTCTGATATAATACCTGATATTGTTATGCTTCACGGTATTGTAAATAACTTGTACCGTGCACATCTTGATCATTAATCACATAATGATCAAATTTCCCCATAACTATATATCGGTGTTCATTTTGATCATTAATCACATAATGATCAAACTCCTCCACAACTACGAACCGGTGTTCATCTCAAGCAATAATCATAGAATGATCAAAACTCCCCCACACCTATATTTGTGAACAAAAATTTTCACTTGTCAATACAAAGATACTTAGAATTCTATCCCTCTTTCAATGAACAAGTCTCATTGAAAGACACACCCACTGACATGAACCTTACAATCTTTGTTGCTTGTGACTAACTGTCATCTGTGACTAACCCTCACCATCGCCTACGACTTACCATCCGTCACCCGCGACAACAGTCGTCAGTGACCATCATTGCTCGTGACAACCGTCACCCTCAACTGCAATATCTGTTCCCCGTGACCACCATCGCCCGCGACTACCTATTGCCCACGATCTATGTCAACCGCAACTGAAACATTGTCTCTCGCGACCTCTATCGTTCATTGTCGCCCGCGACTAACTGCACCCGCTACTAACTGTCATTCACCGTCGTCCGCAATTGGCTTTCATCATCGTCCGCAACTGACGTTGCTAGCGACTATCATCCGTCACCCACAACCAATGTCATCCGCAACTATCGTCTATCACCCGCAACCATTGTTGCCAGTGACCAATGTTTTTCCAACCACGTTATCCACGATTGGCTTTCAAGTCAATTTCCTCATTCTGAGTTATTGTTCAACTACTAAAAATGGTTCATATGCTTTAGTTGCGACAAGAGCTTTCCAACTATACTCAATTCGTCTATGTTTTGATGAAAAAAAATTTCTAATAAATATTTATGATGAAATATTCTTTCACCGTTCTCCCTACCATCACCGTCATCGTCGGTCGGCTCGCCGACTACGTTAGATCTCCGACAAGGATCGTTATCACATTTGGCTGGAGGGGCGACTGTAATCATCGTTGTCGGCCGGCCTCCTAACCGCGTGGAGATGGAGGACACCGCATTTGCGTTCCGCTACTGGTTGTATGTACTCCCTTCAATCCCACCCCTTCTGTCGCAATGCATCCTACCCGCAACCCTCGGTTGGTTTGTCCATCTGTCCAACCGTGGTTGACTTAACCATCGCAACACCGCACCTCAGTTTACCGGCAA